CCTGCAAAAATTGTTGCAAGACTTAACATCAATGAGGGCAACTTTAAGGTTGAAGTTCTGCCGGTTTTTATGCCTGAACCCATTGCAGCTGTACAGTAAGTCTGAGATTAATCAATGTTGAACTCCTGGCAAGATGTATTTGTCGTAGGAGTCTATGTGGTTAAGATTATACACAATAACAAAGTTTCTGTTCTTTCAACAGTGTTGAGACTGTTGCTGTGGCAAGAAATATTGAGGATCTTGCTGCTGCTAGAATCACTCCCATCATCCCGGCCAAAGTCTTGCACCCCATCTCAAGGGAGATTCCTAAATATGATATTTTTTCCTCTGCTGCTTCTAGTTTGGTGAGCTTCTTAACATTGTCTTTTATGAAAGCAACAGTACTATATATATTAACTACATAATCTCTGGGTTTTTTCATAGTCCAAATCCTCTGAGGTCTATCAGGATGTGGCAGCAACAATTACTATTGTAAGACCTAAACAATTTCAGTTTGTGAAGAAGTACTGTGCTACAGCTTTGGCCATTGGACTGACGGGCTGTATAAAGCTTACCACTGAAAACGCTGTTTCCAGTCGTGATGTCGCCCTTTACAAACTGGCTGCAAAGCGCTCCATTTCTCTTTCCATCAAATCAAGTGAGAATTAAGAAAGAATACGTTCACATTTCGTAGAACCAGCGCGCGCAAAGCAATAATTCATGGCATTATCTAATTATACTTTCAGTTGACGGTGAGGAAATTGAGAGATGGGAGATGGAGGTTCAAATTGGACCAAAGGCTGCAGAGAAGCTTATTAAACACATTAACCCGAGTGAAGAAATTGTTGAAGGAAGACAGGGCTTGATGAAGCTCAAGAAACTCCTAGTCCCTCGCCAGAGAAACGTCAGCTCATCTTCCTCCTCTAGTTCCAGCAGCTCTTCTTCCAGCTTCTCATCTCGTGTCAGCAACAAGGCCCGTAAACTCAGCTCCTCCAGAGCCGTGAGCAGTTCCAGCTCCGCATCTAGCCTCGCATCTCTCTTCGGTGTCAGCTCAAGTTCATCTAGCTCCAGTTCTCGACTCTCAAAGGTAAACACCTCAGGGTTGTTTGCATAGAAGGATATGAGTGTGTCTACGTATTATAGTGACTTCTGAAATCTGACTCATGTTTCTTCTGAACAGCGAGTGATTTATTACCACAAGTTCCAGAAGAACCACAAGATCCAGGTACATTTAGATTGGGCCTCAAACAATATACTGTGTATTACATGGTTTGCACATATTAACTTGTCTTGTAGCTTTTTAATATTGGCTACGATCTTATGATCTTCCATACATTATTGTTGTAGGCTCTCCTTTCTCAAGTAGCTTCAGTTTCCAAGAGCAGAAGTAGTGCCTCGAGCTTTGAGGCCATCTACAAACAGGTGAATCTTAGTCATCTTAGATAAATACCAAAACTTTGTTTGAATTTCACTGATGGGTTTCTTGGCGTGAACACATGATTTAACCCTGATTGTTTTCACAGAACACTTTTCTTGGCAATGAAGTTGCTCCTATCTTTGCCATTATCTTCCGTGCCATCAGAGCTGACAAAGAGATGATGGGATACGAGTTGGCAGTTTACTTGAACAAACTTACTTCCAGACTTCAGATTATTCTAGCTGCCTTGGCTGCCGATGACACCTTTAAGATCTGTGCTGAAGGAGTTCTCCTTAGCAAGCACAAAGTCACAGTAAGACTTAGTCTATTTTAGATATTCTGACATTATATTTAAAAGCTACTGTTAAAACCAGCTGCCTTACCATGACTCAAATTGTCTATCAACAGGCAAAACTTGCATGGGGAGCAGAATGCAAGCAATATAATACAATGATCACAGCAGAGACTGGTCTTCTTGGGCAGAGTCCTGCAGCTCGCCTCAGAGTGGCTTGGGACGGAGTGCCTTCTGAGCTTAAACATTATGCAACAAAGTATGAAACGTTATGTTTTGCCCAGGCACATGCAATGTAGACTATGTGAAATACCTAATATTGGGAAAATCTTTTACAGGATCTATGACTATATTCCTGCAGCTATGCTGGCTGGCTTGATAAAAGGAAAGGATTCAAACAGTACCAGTCAGCTCTCCATTACAGTGGTTGCCACATCTGACAGAACCATTGATCTCATTTGGAAAACACCAACAGTATGAATAATTAAGCATTTTTCCAGAAATATCAAGTGATGTGAAGCATTTTTTAATGTGAACTATTCTGTCTACAGCGTACTGTTTATAAGCTGGCGTTGCATCTTCCCATCTCTTTGCCACTTAATGAAATCCAAGGTCTCACCCCCTTTGATGGCTTTGCAGATAAAGTCCACTACTTGCTCGCCCAGGCTGGATCAGGTAATTTATTATTAAATATGAAATGCAAAAACAGATGATGGGATTAAAACTATATTTGTATTCTTTACAGCTGAATGCAGCGTCGTCAGAGATACACTGACCACATTCAACAACAGGAGATACAAGAACGAGATGCCGTTGTCTTGCTACCAGGTTCTGGCCCAGGATTGTACCGATGAACTGAAATTTATGGTTTTGATGAAGAAGGATCACAATGAACAGAAACATATCAATGTGAAAATTTCTGACATGTGAGTTTCCATGAAAACAAGAAAGTAACTGCAGTTTTCATCAACAAGCAGACAAAACTAAGTAATGTTTGAATTTATACCCTTGTAGTGATATTGACCTGTACTCAAATATAACTGACGTGATTGTGAAGGTCAATGGAATGGAAATACCCATCAGCAACCTGCCACACCACCATCTCAAAGGTCTCCATGCACGTTCATCCCACCCTCAAAATCTGGCACACAAAGTGCTCCGATAGTAACTAATTAAATTGAACTTAAAATGATTTTATGTAATGTATCTAAATTGGATTAAAGTAAATTACTTTAAAACCTTTTTTTTTTAAAGCTAAAATCCAGATCAGGCCAAAGGGCAAAGGCATCTCTGTGTACGCTCCCAGTCAAGGTCTTCAGGAAGTCTATTTTGATAAGAACTCATGGACGGTATGTACCATACATTGCTGGTGGACAATTTGGAAAATTGATATAAGTTTTAAACATAATATTTTCAAGATCAAGATGTGATACATTTGACGAACACCCAATGCTCTTTATTGCCTCATAAAATCAATGCAGGTGAAAGTTGTGGACTGGATGAAGGGAAAGACCTGCGGACTCTGTGGAATGGCCGATGGGGAAGTAAGACAGGAGTACCGCACACCCAACGGCCGCTTGACCAAACACGCAGTCAGCTACGCCCATTCGTGGGTTCTCCCTGCTTTGAACTGCAGTGACACCACTGGTGAGATAAAAACTTCATCGTGGTAATACTTTTACAGCAACATACTTTTACAGCCCAGTTTGACATACTATGATGCCCTGAATCCAGCAGAAACTCCCATATCACACGTTTCTCTTTCAGAGTGCCGCATGAAGCTGGAATCTGTGCCGCTGGAGAGGCAGGTAAACATCCATGGCCAGGAATCCAGATGCTACTCCGTGGAGCCTGTGCTGCGTTGCCTGCAAGGCTGTTTCCCTGTGAGGACCACCGCTGTCACTATTGGCTTCCACTGTCGGCCTATCGGTGAGTTGATAGGTTCATGTGACCAAATATGGAAATATGTTGTCGATTGAAGGTATCGCAATTTGAAGCATGGCTTTAACGTTTTATGTTTTGTTCAAAATAACTTTCTACTCCAACCTTTTCTAATTAGTCTGGCTAATCTAGCTGCCCCAATTAAAATGGCAAAAATGGCTAGTTACTAAATGCTCTGCTCCTTTTATTTCTGCAGATTCTGACCTGAATTGCCCGGAGAGTGTAAGCAGCATCAACAATAAGAGTGTGGACCTGAGGGAAAAAGCCGAAGCCCACCTCGCTTGCAGTTGCACTGCTCAGTGTGCCTAACGACCCTTTCTTCTTTCCGCTTCAAAAGACACTGATCACAGATGAAAACAAATTCAAAATTGTTTAAACGGTGAAAGTTTTTTTCATTGACCATTTGAAGCCGTTAATTGAATGTTCACATTTAAACCGTATTTATTAACAACCTATCCTTTCCGTTTTTTCTTTTTGTCAAAGCCACCAAAGCCAAAGCCAAAGCCACCGTCTGCCATATTTTAAACGTTATTTTTTAACAAAAAAGATGAATATTCACTTTTGGATTAGGTTTTTTTTGCGGTAAAAACGTTCAACCAAAAGATGCCAAATGGGATATTACGTTGTATGATACTCTATATTGTATAGCATTTATATCAAGTTTGCCACTAGCAAGGTCACAAAGTCTCAATCCAACACTCATGGGCGTTGCTAGTATTTAAAGTAAGAGGGGGCTAAATACTGCGGGCGTGGCACATTGCATATTCATTCATGAAAAAATCCAGATTAACCAATTGATCCATATATAAAGCGCTCCGGATTATAAAGCGTACTGTCGTTTGAGAAAATTAAAGGCTTTTTAGTGCGCCTTGGACGGTGGAAAATGCGGTATATTTACTTTAATACTACAAGAGGGCGCCCCATTTGACATTGTTTTGTTTGGCGGCGCCTTTTGTTGAATAACGACAGGCCGACAAGAGCAGCCGTTTCGAGCGAGAACCTTATTGTTTTATTAATCGTTCGTTTAAATTGTTTGTGCTTCATCAGTTAATGTTTCACATAACTAATGTGCCGCATCATAATTATTTTGATATTCATTTCAAACTTTTCAAAATGGAAAATTAAAAACTTTATTTATTTATTGTAAATGACCTCTCGCGGCCCACCTGCAGTACCTTCGCGGCCCACCGGGGGGCGGCGGCCCACACTTTGGGAATCGCTGATTTAGTTTAATATCATAATTTTTTTTTAAAGCCAATAATGCTAAATTATTTGAGCGAGCTGAAGAACATTTTAGGGGGGGGCTTTAGAATGGCATATCGCGTATTAAACACAGGCTTTTAAATTTTACAATTCATCATAAGCTTACAGTTTGTGTTTCACCTTTTTAATCACATAATGCAGGAAAATGTGGGACATGTAAATTAGTATTTTATTGCATTTTAAGAATTTGTTGTGGTAAGTTTAAATAATGGGAAATTATGAATAACGTGTCATTTGAGCTAGCTTTGCCTTCAAATATTTTATAAGTTGTGCAGTAAAATCTCTTGAAGCTAACCCATAAAAGAAATGTCTGTATAACAGATCAAAGAATATTATTTGAAATTCCAAGTCCTCTTCGTTAAATTAAGAACAGTCAACTACAATAATGTGCATCTATTGGATATAATTCTAATAAACCGCATCTCATGCGAAATCTCAATACGTTATTGCAATTGTTGTAATTGTATGCAAGTTTGCATGCATTACTGGAAGGGTAAATGGCAAGAAACTTAAGCTTTAAGAATATATAATGAATTAAACCACATCACATTTGTCCAAAAAAGCCACTAAAATAAACACATGGTAAAAAATAATCCACATTCATATTAACATTACAATGGCCTGATGTCAATGTCAACCACATTTTTATGTTAAAAGATAGGAAAATACTTCACTTTTAACCCAGTTTCTTGTGTTCAAGGAAACAGCAGCATTGAATCTACATAAAACAATGCCCAGCAGCATCTACAATAAAAGATATCTCATCTTCCCTGGCACACCCTCATCGCCAAAAATATACTAGCCTCAGATCAAGGTCTTAGACATACCTGCCAATTATTAAAGAAACACAAATAAACAAATGCATTTATCTCATTTTCAACAAAAAAAAACAGTCAGATAAAAACACCTTTTATCTGGGATTAGGAAAAGTGTGCCTTAGAGGTCTGCTGTTGGGAGGGGGTTGTGTCAGACCCGCACATGATGAGCTTTTCTGGAGACGATGGGGCACTGGACTCCGTTTTAGCTGCAAATATATTTTAAAATGTATTGATTGTTGTCTGGTAAGTGAGTTATTGATAGTAAGATATGAATAACATAAAAGCGTACTTCGACTCAAATAGTGAATTCAAAAACAGAAGTAATTTAGTCAAATAAAACTGCAGCACAGTTGTGGTATAAATGAATGGGATCAGCCCAGTGTCCGGCCTATTGATAATATATACGTTATCAATAATATCTAGAAAAAGGTGACCTGGAACAGTATAATGTAACAGCGTAGACACTCACACATTAACAAGCAACATTTAGACCACTTGTTTTGGTTAAAAAAATCTAAGAAAACACTTTGAATCTGTAGATTACTGCCTAATAGTCTTATTTCTGCCACTTGATGACAATTAGGTTGAATGTTATGCACAAGTTTCAATAAATGCCCCCAATTTCTTATAAAATGCATCTGGTTTTCAGTGGGGGGTAAAAATCGCCCCCTAAATAATTTGTAAATTTCCTACCCTGAGTGTCATATTGCCTAATATATATTGCCGACGAATTCTGAAATAATTTGTTTCAATCAATCACCTCATGGCTAAGCCTTATAGCTGCTTCAGTGAAGTTCCCCCTCTCCCTCTCGAGGAACTTCCTCTGCTCTTCTAGGGACTTCTCCTCCTCTCTGAAGCACTCTTTTTCCTGCAGCATGTAGCAGTCGCTCAGCAATGATGTAGCCTCCTCGTCACACGGAGGGCGCAGCTGCTGCTACAAGAAAACAATATGTGTTCGGTTTGTTTGGCCAGAATTTATCAAACGAGGTGCTAACTAAACGGAATACAATATATTACTTGGTTATTGATAATTTGACACTCTTGTCTCTGCAATGCGACTGACTCATAATACTGTCCATTTGAACTAATGGACCTTTCAGTCTCACCTGCAGGAGCTGCTGTTGTGTTTGAATGAAGTCTTTGCACTGCTGGATCTCCAGCTTCAGTCTGTTCATCTCCTCCACATGAGTCTCTTGTGATGCAGCATCATCGGTTTTGTTCGCGCCCATCTGAGCTAAAGATACCAAACAAACAACCCAATGTCCATGTAAAACCATTTTACAATTATTTTTACATCCATATGCATTTTTTTTTAAAACATGGATCCAGAGTGGAATGTCATTGGAAAATAAGTGCATTGTAAGTGTAATAAGTAATAAGTGATTTGAAAAAGCTTCCATACATATTAAGAGTTTGGGCTTCAGAATTTAATGTGAACCTCCAGTGCATTGCCAGTTTCTCTTTGGTTTAATAAGGCTCTTTGCATGTCTTTACTAGATGTTGCTGCATCAATGGTTCCAAAGCACATCAATGATGTTTGAGAAGAGTCCAAACTATCTGGAATCCTCCCATGACACAAAGTTATATTCCAGGGACAGGGACAGTTTGCTGCATCAGGGCTACCTTGGCTGTCCAATCTTTCAACGTGGCTCTTTATTCTTCTCCACTGGAGGCGAATGCGGTTGGTCAGCTTCTCCCGGGAATGAACACAATACAGCTCCACACTTTCTTTACTGGAATCAAACACTTCCTCTTCCTCCTCTGGGTCAGCCTGAGATTAAAAATGAAAATGTGTTTCACTCTATTGGTAGCACATCTGGCAACGGTAGACTAAAGAAAGAGGCAGAGCGACTTTTATCAGCTGCCAATTTGATTGTGATGAGTTTTCACAGTGGTTATTGTGTTTATCTGCTGCATTTTTGAAATCCATCCACCAAATGTTATTGCCAAAATATTAGGAGCAAACAGGAAAAGTGGCATAATAGCACTTTCCATTTTATAATGCCTCAGAGATCAAAGAGAACAAATTGAGAAAGATGTGGGCCTTGAAGTGAGAGCAATCACTCATTACTAACTCCCTAAAAAAGTAGAAAAAAAAGAATAAAAAGAATAAAAACTCTCCCTACCTGAATACCATCATCTTGACATTTGTCTTCCTTCAGCGTTGATTTCTTTGAACTCAGAATGGAAAGCATTTCTTTTTCCATCTGCTGTAACAATTTCTTTAACTCTGCATTTTCCAGCAGCATCTCCCTTTGTCGGCTGTCATAGTCACTCAGGAGAGTCTTGTACATCTCCTCCTCATGCCTTGGGATGACAAAGACAATCCTCCGTTTGTTAGTTTGTTATGAAAAAACGTATCAGAGGAAAATCATTTAAGCTACGGTGACATCCAGCATTTAGCAGTGTAACCATGTTTGAAGCTCTTGTTCCTAAAAGAAATGTGTTTCACCTAGAAAGCTGACAAAGGAGTGGATGTGCAAAAGTAAGGTGAGTAAAAACATTCTCTCATTATGCTTTTGCGTAATTCCTCCTTTGTTCCTGAAATTGTTATTTACAAATATGTTGAGACAAAAAGTAACATATTAAACAATGACTTTATAAAGAAAGAAGTAAACTTACTTTGCTTCTGTTTTCTGAGTTTTCCAAAGGCTTCTCTTTCCATCAGCTCTTCCAATGTTGTTTAATACATCAATGGCTGGAAGCAAGAAAGACAAACGTATGAAAAGTTGTTTTATAAAATGGAATCTTCATTTTAACCGTGTGTCTGGTAAGATATTGGTTATATTTTCATTAATTTATTAATTATTATAATTATTAATTATCTTTGCAACGGCTGGGACTAAAAAGGTTCTCTTTAACCTGGTTTCTTCTCCTTTTTGTCCACCAACAGTTGATTCAAGCGCTCCTTCAATTTGTCAAATTCTCTCTCTTTCCGTTTCATCTCATGATTGTACTGGCTGGCCCGGCTGGCAATTATGTTCTGAAGTTTTTGCACCTGGCAGGGGAAAATAAAACAAGTTTTTACCGTTGGGATTGTCATGTTCATCCACCTGAAACCAAAAACCTGCCAGTGGATTCATTTAGCGTTATCTGGGCCAAAAAGTCCAAAGAAAGTACCTCATCTTTTTCATTTTTCAGGCAGTTCTGCAAACTCTTCACTTTCAAATGCAGCTGTCGTTCTCTCTCAAGCAGTCCTGTGTTTTCTCTTTTGGACAGTTCAAGTTGCTCCTATGACGACAGGACAATTTTGTTATTTTCAGAAATTGACAGGCACCACGTGAGGTTTAGTTTAGTTAAACATGCCATTGATATTTTTTATTTTACAATGCAACAAAGGAATTACTGTAATCACATGTTACTATACTTTTAGTTGGGTGCTGGTGAGCTTCAGGTAGTCCACATTGCTTATGGACTTCAGCTGTTCCACTTCCATGTTTTCCAGAGTCCGGAGTCCCTTGTGGTGGAGATGAATCAGGTCATACATGCAATTGAGCACAGTCATAACATTCACCTCTGGGCTGCCGCTTGACTCCGTCCAAAGTGGTGGGAGGCCAAGAGATGACACCTCCTGTGAAAGGGAATAAATGCAGAAAAAGATGTGGAGGACTGGCCCAACTCAAACCAGTCACATTGTAGTCATTTACATTTAAGACAAGGTAAGATATGTAAATAGATAGATACTGTATTTATATCTTTCGATGATATTGCTTACATTAAACAGCAAGCACGCATGTAGCAGTAACTGTGTTCATAGTACTTCAGCGAGACATTTATGGTCACCAACCTGATTGATGTGTGACAAACATTCCTGCAAATTGTCCTCTCTGCAGAAGGTACTGAGAATGTGGTTTTTGTGCAGCGGCACCGATGATGGGCTAATCTGTCCCAAGAGAGATGGTCTACATTCAACGGAGCTGCTGCAAATGTCCCTGAATTCTGGGGAAAGAAGCAGAGTGGATATATGCTGATTTGACAATGCTTGACAAGAAAAAGAAACCACTTCATGTGCAGTAAACATGAAAGGAATTGAGGTCACAAAAATTAAGGTTTGACACAAAGAACAAGGTATTGATAATTATACAGTAAAGTACACACAACTGCTTAATACAGAACTCTGCAGTGCTTCGGTTCAGTCTGACGAATGATGCTGACAGAAAGTCAAAATCACATATTACAATATTTTGCAGTTTCTGACACATGTTAAATGTTTTTTTATGAACAACAGAGTACACTAGGCAGCATGTCTTATTGACAGTGCATATTAAATGTTCTAACGATCTTAAAACAAAAATCACAATCTTAACTCACCCAGGCCTCTGGACTCTGGCATTGTTGCTGTGCAGCTTTCAGGCTGGATCGTGTCTGGATCCTCTAGTGCACGTGGACGATACAATACAAGCTCGCCACAAGATCGACCTACGCAGTCAGTGCTCCTGAAATAGAAGGTCAGATTAGCAGCGCCCATTCAGCAGGGTCTGGATTACAGGCCGATGGAAGTAGACACGCAGCAGTAAGGGTTTGAATAACGGGGTAAATGAAAAAACAGTGTGAGGACAGCAGAGTCATAATTGTTTTGTTGATGTTGCTGCTGCTGTTGTTGTTGTTGTTGTTATTGTTGTTGTTGTGTTTTTTGCGTTACACCCGTGTCACAGGGAAAGTATTTTAACAGGTTACAGACTTGAACCTGGCTAGCATTTTATGCTGTCAGACGATCAGAATCGAAGACCGACAGTGTGGCAATTTTTCTGCCGTACAATCCACACAATCAGAAACCCTGTGTTCCTGTATGAATGTCTATGTTTCCTACAAATGGTGTATAGATAATAATGAAAGCTAGAACCATCTAAAAACAACAGGTTTTTTGGCAACTGCTTTTAAAAATAGATACAATTATTGTTTTCATGAATTAGCTTTTTCACACATTGCAATGACCAGGAGGCTGTTATTGACGCAGGGGACCTTCCATTTGGTTTTAATGGTACTTATTTAATCAGCCTGGTGACAGATGGCGAGCCTAAAGTCTCAGAGCTTAAGAAACCTATGAGCTGCTTAGACTGACCACTTAACAAGTGTTAACCTTTAACAGAATCAAACTGTTTTATCAGTATGAAATCTCCATTGCTTAAGTGACATTTAAAGAAGGTAAACAAGAATGTGCATTTCATTTGAGTGACAGTTAGGACAAATTGGCACAACAATCGAATTATCTTTCTACAGCCCTGTCGTAAAATGACTAAGAAATACAGTGTAACCTTAGTGTCTTCAGACAGTTAGCAATTAGTTTATTTGATTTGATTTTTTTTCTAATTTTATTTTAGCTACGTTAGCATTTAGTGTTAGTCAAAGTTATGAAGTGTAACTATTTTAACTTAAGCTACAAAGCGATAACCGTGGGCCAGCCAGTCTAAGTTGTTGATGTCGATATTGATGTGTAAGTTTGGCGTGTTGAACACGTCTAATTAACGTTAGCTACAACTCGTGTTTTGTAACAGACGTTGGCAATATTAAACAAAATAAGGGTTGTGCGGGTCGCTCACACAGGAGGTCAATGTAACACTAATGTTCAAATGGCCAAACGTGAACTGCCCACTAAAGCCTAAAAACAGCTGATACTTTACTGATAACTTAACTGTTAACTCGTTTCGAAAGCCGACGTTTAAAATGTTCACTTTCTACAGAAGCAGAGACCAACATATCACTTACGTTTTAAATGTGTGTCCCAACCGCTGCTAAACCACGTCTGTCCCTACGCCACCACACACACACACACACACACACACACACACACACACACACTACTGACAGCAAATGTGCGACCAAACAGCACGCTCATTGGCCGAATCGTTGTCTAGCAACCAAACACGGCTCAATATGATTGGCTGTTGGCTGCAAGGGTTAATCGTTATCGTTTAAAACATATATACACCAATGAAGAACGCGCACGGTTGTTTTTAATTATTCAATATTTTTAATATTACATAGAAATTTTGACAGTATGGTTAAATAAGGAAATAATCTATCGTGCAGTGTCCAGAAACACCAGTCACTTGTACTTTACTAATTACTTACAAGTAGCTTTAATGCAAATGTTGCATCACTGGATTTAAGAACAAGACAGTAAATTAGCTCTTTGCACTGCAAAGTAAGCAACACCTTACAAAAACTGCTACAGACAACAGCACATTCTTATTTTACAAACACAAAGCGGTTGTTATTTAGATAATTCAAATCTATTCTGCATCAAAAAAGCATGAATGCAAGAGTTTGATTTCCTATGTACCGGTACACACATTGTGGGGACAAATGACCTTTTCTAATATAAGGCAGTGACTATCTCCTTTACTTTAGATTAATCGAATGAAACAAAAGTCCCCCAGATTGAAAACATAAAAATAAAGCTATTCATGAGAGAACATTTGTACGGGTAACGTGTGATAAAAAAAATAGCATTTAGATAACTTTGGCATGTTTATCTGCATATTTTTTGGGATTTACAGTGCACAGTGGTATTTATATTTATGATAAACTATTAGTTCATCCTATAATTGTATTTAACCAAAAAATACCTCACTGGATACAATTAAATTGCACAACACAAAGCCTGACCAGTTTTCATACAGTGCTTGTTACAGTTTAGGCTCTGAACTAGTCACTAACTGGCACCAGGACTCCTCTGGTTTCAGATGGTCTGAGCAGTGGGTCTGTGTAATCGTCTTGCTTTGCTTCAAGCCACCATGTTGTCATATCCCCTTTTCCCTGTTTGGACAAGAGAAATGGGAGAGTGAAAGAGGAAGAGAAGAGAGTCCTATTGCAAAACATGTGTTCCTTTGAATTTTAAATAAAGCCATTGTCCGCCGCACTCCTTTGCGACTGAGAAATAAACCCCTCACAGGTACCACCCTAAAAGAGGTCTTACAATGAAAAGGGTTACAATGGGAAAAGACGCCAGTTGAAATGAAGGATGGTTCCCTGAAAAACAATGCAAATACCAGCCACTCCCAGTCTCTTTTTATTTGGAGGAAACTTTTGTGTAATCTTTTCAAATCTAATCCTCATAAATCCTATGTATTTTTCAACACCATCTTTTGAGCGATTATAATATTTTTTTTAAACCGTTGGCAACCACCATGGCAACACAAAGAAGTTTGAATTGGTATTGTATGAACCAACACTTATAATCATTCTAGTGAGATTTATGTCAAGAGAAGCTGTGGTTGTGTGCACTCAGGTTGATGTGTGCACCTGCGGTGCTCCCTGACATAGTAATTTTGCAGAAACGCTGGCTCTGATGGAGCATAAAATAGTCTTTGTTGAAACTGGTTCTAGAAAGGTGTTGATTCTATGTCATGGTCATTTTGGAGGCTACTGTATTATTATTATAGGCTGTATTATTATAGGCTACTGCTAAGTATTTTGGTCATTTTGCCTACTCTGACAGAAATGGTGGACTAATAATAGAAATACCTGTCAGTATAAGAGGTGTCTGCTTTCCTAATACAAATTACAGGTGCAGAGGGTTATGTTTGTCACTGGAACACAAAAAATATATCCATATTCTTCAACACACATGTACACACATTTTTAAAATTACCTTCACACTGAGAGATCCTCTGCATGTCAGAATGTAACCGCTTAGTATGTGAAGCAGGTCAGCTGTGGCCCCACTACACTGGATCTTCAGAGCTGTCGACATAATCATAGAACCACAGTCATTTTCATCTTTGTGCATCATTATGACTCAATAAATATCCTGTTCTTCCATCACGTTAATCCGCGATTTTTTTTAACTTTAGAAATCAATATCATTTGAATCTGACCAATCTGCCAAAAGCTAATCCTGAACATCCATAGAAGCCAGTTGCAAGAACACCACAAAAACAATATTAAGAGAGCATGCAGAGGTCATGAGGCACATTGGTTCAAACGTAAAATCAACATACTCATTTCTCTGAATACAAACTGTGGCATGTTGACATATTAAGTGGATAAAAAGCTTGAATCTTGACCTTCACTTGTTGATTCCATGCGTGATGCTGTGTTGACGGTGTCCCCAAACAGGCAGTAGCGAGGCATTTTGGTGCCAACCACTCCGGCCACAACAGGTCCTGGCAAAAAAAATGTACTGTAACTTCTGAAATTTTGGAATTATGGTAACGCATATCTATATATGTTTCATATGAAGCAGTAAAATCAATAACTAGTAGTAGTAATATGTAATGGTAAATGGCAGAGGTAAGAGCATATCATTTCAAATTATTACCGAAAAGGTAATACTACTAAAACATTTAAAAAAATGAATCTTTATGTTTTCAAAACTAACCCCCTTAGCTATTCAAGACCGTCAGTGGTAAAACAAGAAAAAAGGAAAATATTCTAAATACAGACATCTATTATATGGATTTGGAAGGAGGTCACTGGCTGCCCATCTGATATATGTGATAATACTGTGATAACCATTTCCCTTTTAGAACAAGGCCGTGTCTATCTTACAAAAGCTATCATTATTTTTGTCATACTTTGGAGGGTGGATGCGTCTGAGTTGAAAAGACATACATTAGAATGGAAAAGTATTGCAAAAATAATACATCGTGCATCATCCTCTCCTCCAACTCATGCTAGCTACAGGGGAGATATTCACGGTACCTGAGTGGATGCCAGCACGTATCTTCAGCTGAGTGTCGGGTTTATGAGGGATCTGGAAAGTGTGGCAGACACTGACCAGATCAAGAGCCATGCTGGCTATCTCACCGGCATGATTGATGCCATTTTCTTGAGGGACCCCTGAGACCACCATGTCTGAAAGATAAGCCAGTATTCAGTGTCAAGGAACTATACAAGAAGAGATAAATCATTAATAAAATATCAAAACATTATTTCAGTCCCTCCTTCAATGGTAAAACGGTTGTTTTTTCTTTTAAATCATCATATTTAGTTGTGTATCTCCCTCTTAACAAATTTGTGTCCTTATTTTCAAGCTGAGATAACTTCTTACATAATTACAAAGTACATATCAATGGTAGTTCTTCATCATAATGATTTATCAGTTATTGTTAGTTGTCCAAAATGAGCTTATTGTTTGTACTTACAAGCATCACCAATTGTCTCGACTTTGTAGACATCATAATTGTCAATAATGTCATCGAAGGTGGTGTAGAGCTTGTTGAGGAAGTCCACCACCTGGTAGGGAGTGCTGGCACCAGACAATTGTGTAAAGCCCACAATATCGCTACCACAGGGGAGTAAAACTGTGTCAGTCATCTCCAGTTCTACATGGATACTAAATACTAAATAAATAAAATAAAATATAAAATCAATCTTAATAGATCAATGGGAGAGATTATCTACAGATTAACACAAATTAATACAATTATGGGGAATGAACCCAACGCAAACCTGAAGTAGACTGTGGCGTTGGTGAAGCTCTGAGCATCTGTTGTTCGACCCTGACGAAGGTCATCAGCCACCGGTTTTGGTAACATGCCTGCAGAGGAATTTCCTAACTTAAACAAAAATGTCCCTTCTTTGTGACAATGAGTGGGAATGATAAAAGTGCTGCTTTTGCACCACCAGATGACAATGAGCACATCGAACTGTGTTGTGTCAGTAACTCATTTGAGGGATTTGAGGGATTTGAATTGAACTGGCATCAAATGATGGACCGCATATAGTGCATTTTAGTACGTACTGAAGATAAAGCATATGTGCACATTTCACAATAAATTGTGCACCTGTTTTTGTACTAGTAAGTGTACTCTGTCACCAAAACCATTTTTTTAAAGACACAGTTGATTTTCTTTTGCAACTCTTTCCAATCACTCCACATCTGTTGTCCTGACTTACTGTACAACAGCTGATCTGTCTTCTGTTTCTCTTGAAGAAGATCCTGTGTTCTCTCAGCAACTATGGCCTCCAAATGTTTGCTGTAATTCTCCATCTGCAATAAAACAAACCTTGTGTCTGAAATTCAAAACATTCCAGATGGTACAGATTGCTTTTTAATTTTGTCCAAATAAGTCACATTCTATTTAGTATATTTATTCTATATATCTTGACACGCCATTTCAGTTTCTTTGACCACATTTAAGTTGGTTATTACCAGTTTCATCATCATGTCCACAGGGCTGACTTTGTGTGGGTTCATTTTGTCGAGCATCTTCTTCACCTGCTCAAACGTGGGCCTCATCGTGGCGTTATGACACCAGCACTTCTTAATGAGCTATCCAGAAGAAAGCAACACCTCATTGTCCGATATATTAGTTTATGCCCATGACATATAATAACAATATAACATTACCAACTTTGTCTAGTTATTTGACAGACAGTTCAAAAAGAGCATCAGTAAAAATCCCACATTGCTCTAATTATCTTTTCTCGCAACATCTGCACATGAGACAGACCTCACAGTAATCCTCTTGACTGGGACAGTCAGTATCGGCCTTCCCTGCTTTGACTTCAGGCAGAGGGGGGCGCCATATGACATCCATCCTCACTCCTCCATCAGCCTGGTCCTGTTAGAGAAGTCAGCTGGTTATAAAAATAAGATCAAAAGGAAGCTGGAGGTTGTAATATACAAAGAAAGCCATAACGCTCACTGAAATGAGGTTGGAGCGAGTTGCAATTTCAACCAGAATTATGGAATAGCTGAGGAAAAGGTAAAAAATTAAAACATCATGGATATCTCAGTATATTTTCTAGTGCATAAATACAACATTTTTAATGTAAATTACATGTTTGATTAAACTGTATTACATTTTCATGTATGTCCACAATGAACTCCTTACACTGGAACAATAAACACACCTGTAGACGTCTGCCGCTGGGGATATATTGGAGCTGTTTCCCACCAAGACCTCCGGTGCACAGTAAATACGATTTACACCCCCACAGTTGAAGCCGTTACTGACGGCGTCAAAGTCCTCCCTTCTGTAAGCCGTGAGCCCAAAATCTGAAAAAATTAATATAATTAGTACAATTAGAGTACCGCGAAGAAGGAGGTTGTTTTTCACTTTGCATCGATAATTAGCCTGCATTGCTTCTAGTGTAGGATGTGGCAGAGAAGATCAATGACAAGGAGATGTTTTGTTTCATAGTGTTATGAAGTGTTGGTTACATAGTGTTAGTTTTTAACACTGTATGTTGAGTGACTTATCACAATATTTTTTTTGTTACCTGAGATTTTGCACACCCAGCGGTCATCGATTACACAGTTTCTGGAGTGAAGTCTTCCATGAAACGTCTTGTGCTGGTGGAGGTATGACATCCCGCGAGTGATGTCAGTGGCAAAGGAGAGTCTGCATGAAAGAAACCCTCTAGATGTTACTGTTTATGTTTATTTTTTATTTTAGTCTACTTTTGTGTGATTGTTCAATAGTACTTTGAAATCTTTTCGTTTAATTTCCTCATCATCAAAATCTTTTATCTAATTCACTGCAGGTAGTGACAGGACCATGACCTTCAGCTCGTAGATGTGAGTATAAGCTACCCCAAAAAATGAAATATATAATTATTGCATCCATTCAAAAGAAAGATGTATAGGAAGAATGCATGAATGCAACCGTAAGATGTGAATGATGAAGGTTGAAATATTTTGAACTGGACTGCAACTAACGATTATTTTCAGTATGTATCTATTTGTTTTTGCTTGATTAAATGACTGAAATGTGGTAGAGCAGAAAGTGTGAACATGAGTACAGTACTTGTAGCACAAACGTAATTAGCTCGATTTCACCACTGCTTCACTGCTGACACGCATAAAAATGAGGCTGTACGTGATACTTTATCACCTGAAGCCCCAGTTGATGGGGACGTCCTCATTCAGCAAGACATCCGACAGGCTTCCTTTTGGGCAGTACTCTGTGATGATGCTGATGTAGGGGATCTCGATGGAACCACCAATGAACTTGCATAGATTGGGGTGATCCAGTTGCCTAGCCAGTAGGACAATTTAGATAAAACTAACAAAGTCTGGGAGACAACATTTCATTAATCCAGTAAAATGTATTTTTCCTCACCTAACTTCTTTCACCTCCTTCCTGATGGTTTTGGAGAGGGTGAAATGTTTATTCTGGATGTGTTTCACTGCCACTGTCCTCCCGTCACTGCAAGAACACCATTGATTGAACTGAAAATTGTCAGTAAAATACATCCTAATATATTTGAGACATGCAGAGGAACCAGACATAATGGCTGCATTTTATTAACAACAGATTAGAGTAATTTATGACAGATATGTTTTATCTGCTTATATACTTATATCTACTTTATTAAACTGACTTGACAATCATTGATTGAAATTAAGAAATTAGTAAATTATCTAAATTCTTCTTAACTTGAACATTGTATTAATTAAATACCTGCACCATAAAACACCACTGTAATTCTAATGCATTTATATTATTGTATTAGTTTCATTGATTTCTAGTATATATGATTAGGAGTTTTGTATTATTTTAGAGTGCGCATATTACATAAACTGCACATACTGCAAATGCAACTTCATGTACTTTGTCAAATTATTATGTAGTTGTATATATCTATAATAATTGTACATTGCTTGAACCAATGATACCTCATACCACATGGTTCACACATCATGGCTGAGTGGCACAACTTACTTATCTGTTTTACTAGCTTTCATACTGTGTCTGGGCAGCTGTAACATGAATGCCCCCTCTGAGATCAATAGTCTTATCTCCATCAAACAGAGCTCCTAATGGCACAGCGTGGATTCATTCAATGTTTTTGATCAATAAACATTCATATAAATAATGTTTTTTCTCACAATATGCCTGGCTGGATGACAGAAGTGTTGATTCCGGTGAACACGGTCACCTCAGTTGTTTGACTGATGGTGGAGATGCTTTTGACGCGCTGCAGACTAATGGTGCTGCAGAGGCCCATGCAACAAACGTCACCTGCACACACCAGACAGTTAGATACACAAGGTCAGTAGTAAACCTGTTGTTTTATGATTAGAAATGCTTTATTAGAGTTAAAACTCTCAGGTCTCGTCCATTCTTAGTTATATTAACAATTTTATTTGAAAATGCAAATCCCACAATAACATCATTCAAACTAAGTTTCATTCATGTGCAAAAAGTATCTTTTAACAACGTTTTACCAAAAATGATGCTCTTGTAACTGATTATCCAACTTTCATCCCAAAGCATCCTCTGTTTCTGGTACTGGAGCCACTGCAGGGACGACATTCAGAGACACATCTGGGTATGAAACATCTCCTGCATGTGTGTGTGTGTGTGTGTGTGTGTGTGTGTGTGTGTGTGTGTGTGTGTGTGTGTGTGTGTGTGTGTGTGTGTGTGAGTGTGTGTGTGTGTGTGTGTGTTTGTGTGTTGGCGAGGATCTGTGTCGGAACCTTGTCCTCTTACTACTGGAGTTCCTCAGGGTTCCGTGCTGGGTCCCCTCCTGTTTTCGCTTTACACCAACTCTCTTGGCGCTGTCATTCGCTCGCATGGCTTCTCTTACCACAGCTATGCCGATGACACCCAACTAATTCTCTCCTTCCCTCACTCGGACACCCAGGTGGCGGCTCGGATCTCTGCCTGTCTAACTGACATCTCTCAGTGGATGTCCGCCCACCATCTGAAAATCAACCCCGACAAGACTGAACTACTTCTCTTTCCCGGAAAAGATTCGCTTACCCAGGACCTGACAGTCAACTTTGGGAACTCCGTACGAACGCCCACTTTGACCGCTAAGAACCTCGGCGTCACACTCGACAGCCAACTCTCCCTGACTCCCAACATCGCCGCGACAACGCGATCCTGTAGATACACGCTCTACAACATCAGGAGTATACGTCCCCTTCTCACTCAGAAGGCAGCGCAGGTACTGATTCAGGCTCTTGTCATCTCACGCCTGGACTACTGCAACTCCCTCCTGGCTGGTCTCCCTGCCACCGCCATTCGACCTCTGCAGCTCATTCAGAATGCAGCAGCTCGACTGGTCTTCAACCTTCCGAAATTCTCCCACACTACTCCACTCCTCCGCTCTCTTCACTGGCTACCGGTGGCCGCCCGCATCCAGTTCAAAACATTGGTGCTCACGTACCATGCTGTGAATGGATCGGGTCCAGCTTACATCCAGGACATGGTCAAACCCTACATCCCAACCCGCACTCTCCGCTCTGCATCTGCAAAACTACTCGTCCCTCCCTCACTGAGAGCAAAACACTCGACTAGGTCTCGACTCTTCGCTGTCCTTGCGCCGAAATGGTGGAACGAGCTCTCTGAAGACATCAGGACCGCAGAGAGCCTTCACATCTTCCGCCGCAAACTAAAGACACACCTCTTCAGACTCTACCTCGACCAAAGACTAACAAATTGTAGCACTTAAATTGTACTTGTAACGTCACTCATCTATAGCAAATTGTAAATTGGCTTATTTGAGGAAATTGCACTTTCTTGTTTCTTGTTCTCCTGAGTTTGTACCCTATGGTTGAATGCACTTATTGTACGTCGCTTTGGATAAAAGCGTCAGCTAAATGACATGTAATGTAATGTAATGTAATGTAATGATGCACACATGTGACTGACCACTATGGTAAGGATGAAGCCGCCGCTGAAGAGAGCAACTGGAAGCCCGATGGCCACTTTGATAGTGATGGACATCGGGCAGATGCCACAGTCTGCAGGGCAGTTCAGACAGTTCTCCTCCAGCTCACAAACTTCGTCGCCGCACACTGAAACACAATGACACATTTTATATTGGAGGTTTCAATCCACTGATATCAGTTACAGATTGTTTACAAATTAACAGTCTACTAAAGTTAAAGTGCAAACGTTTTAATATAAAAATGTACGCATGTAAGCAGTTGTTTTGAAATAATGGCTATTCTTACATGCAAGTTTACCTTTTCCTTAATGTTCGGGATGTAAATAGGGAGCTGCTCTTCCTGCTTTTGTCTGGTTTTGCTCAACACTCCAGGAATTGTAATTTTGTACAAATATAGCTTTACATGAGTGAGCAGCCGAAATTTTTTTCAGCACATCCTGCAGGACTCCGCGTATCAACAAATGGATTTTTAGCCGACTGACCTTGAGCACTGACAACAAGCACTTTGGACTCGAGTGCTGCGTGCATGCGTCCCATTTTGATGTGAGCAATGACGGAGGTGACTCCCAAGTGGATCAGCACCACCTGTGTGACAAAACACCACCATAATATTTTGGTGGGGAGGAGTTAGCTGGTATATTCAGAATTATGAAAATAAGTCAACACTATCATTTGTTTTCCATAAGGATATAAAACAACAAAATAATGCTTGGCTTTCACTCACTAAATCAAATGAGAGGCACGAAAAATGTTTATAAAAAACACTAAACTTAACTTAATGTGACATAAATATATATAACTTAATTCAACAGTTAGGAAACAATCAGAGCTCTAAATGTATAAAATATACAAAAAAATGTTTGCCCCGCAGCTTTTTTTAAGGATTGTACACATTGATATTCTGTCAGATTATACATGATTTCACCTGTTGTAAGAGCATCTATACGTTTTGTTTGTGTTTGCTCACCTTTGAAGTCCAGTATTTCTGGGACATCTTTCCCGCTTTGGAGACAGTGTGAGTCACAATTTTACCATCGTCGGGAATCCACGGGCCACAGATTCCACCTTGTTTCTTCAAAGAGACGACAGAGCGGTTTACCAAGGTTTCATTCCAAAACTCGTCCTTTAGACAGTTAAGTCATGAGGAACAAGTGCTGGTATTTGAATAACTATTATTTGGGTTCAACGTGTGTTCACTAAAAGAGTGTGTCTGTGTGTGTCTCTGCTGTTACAGATACTTTTAAAACACCCAATCAGATGGAAACTTTGCAATAATGTTCTTTTATGTGTTATTCTTTTTTATTCTAACAACCTGTATTTTAGTAGGATGGTTTGAGTTTGGTTTGAGAATGTTTATTATCTTAAAATATCTTAATTTATTGACACAAAAGTTTGGGCTTTACCAAGAAGTCAAAGGGTTTTAAATGAAACACACTTCAAAGAACCCACCATGAGACCGAGAGGACAGGAGTGGACGTTGGCGTGGTAGACGCAGCAGTTCATTTCATTGGCGTTGTTCCAGTTTGGCGGGCAATCATGTTCATGACAGAACCTCTTAGCCTCTGACGCATTACTAGAAAGGGAACGTGGCGGGGGAACCATTAAAATCAATTAGCACAAAAACTCAGTGTTGCTATTTACAGTGGGAGGTCAAACAGAAACCATGATCAGTGTAAGTAGCCACAATTAAGATAATAGAAGCGGAATTAAAAGGATACTGTCAGGTAATACACTATCTAAAATGTTGTGTTCCTGCCAGATCACTTCTTTGAGTGTGTGCGTAGGTGCTTGTTGGTATGTGCAGTTTGCACGTCGACATGCGCGGGTTCTGGGCATGGCAGACGTTGAGGATGCCAAGTAACCATGTAAAACACTTACTTAAACTGGAAAATCTGTTTTTTTACGGCGTACTCGTAGAAGGAATCCGAGGCCGTCACCGTGTACGAGACATTGAACTCTTCCCCGTTGGACACCTTCTCTGGAGGACGCTGCACCCAGGCCATTTCCAGACCTGTAAGACCACTAAAGCCCGTCAGCCGAACACACGTGTTCAACAAACACTGCTCATGTGCATGTGGATTGCAAAGGTTTGCATGGTTACATTGAGCCCAACCTTTTTGCTCAGTGTACTTAATCCTAGACAAATGATCTAATGTTGTCTCCTTCCTTCTCAGCCGGAAGAGGAAACGCATCTGATTTTACAGTAAATACTCACAGGTAAACAGACTTATAAACGCATGAAAACGTACCACCACAGCTTATCATGTTGAAATCATTTGGATCGTTGATGGGCCAACAGTCATACTCAGTGTTATCCAGATCATGCCAGCAATGGACTCCCTGCAGGCAAAGACGGGATGGTTATTTTTCACGTAATGGTAGGTTTTGGTGAATCAATCAAATACACAATTCAGCTCTGCAAAGCCCTGTTGGTTTTCTGCCCATATGATAAAAAAGAAAAAAATCAATCAGCAGCCAACATCAACATCACTAGCATTAGTACTGCGGCAAGTAAACGTAAGAATGAATCACAATAGTATCTTTCGTTCACGATTGATTCAAATACAGATTATAATCAAGGAAATCAGCCCTACATGATAAACTGTGGTGGTACGTTTTCAAATATAGATTATAATCAAGGAAATCAGCCCTACAATAAGCTGATGAGAACCGAGCAGTGGACAGACACACTACACCACCACATGCCCGCAGCAACAAGTGTTTCTGACAAGACAACAAAAGCTAGCGGGGTACCCGGGCAGTAAATGTTAACATCAAACACTAGTTTTACATGCTTTTTCTACATCTTTGTCGATATCATACAAAGGAAAACGCCCCCTGCCCTCAATCCACTTTATTGTGAAGCCTATCAACGGGTCCACTTAAACATCTGCGGCTACATGTCCATATTTCCTCTCTGTAAGTTATATAGATTAAAACCATGTGAGAACTTACCAGCAGGAAACATAGGTAAAGAGCCGCCGTCCTTAGAGCCATGAGGAGGTTTGCTGCTTGCCCGGACCCACTCTTAACTGACAGAGTGAATGGCCCAAATGTGTTGCGTGTGCGTATGTGTGTAGAAACCCCAACTGAATGAAGTACCCTTCTCTAAATGTTTTTTTATTTCTTTTTTATATTCCCGAGGCCCGCCCTCTCCCTTGCCATTAATTGCCCAATCAGCAGAAGAGACTCTCCAATCACAGTTTGATCATGTACTCGTTCACAAGGTGCTTCAGCTCACCTTCACTGTCCCTCGGGTCAGAATCGCCCAGAGGTTTCTGGTGCACCTGAACTCACCACCAGGGCCTTGTTTCCACTTCTCTCTCATTGTCTTCTGCATGATCTGACTATAATGTGTTAAATTAGTTCCATTTGCATCAGGAAAAGAGTTTCATATCAAACTGACATTCAAGCCTGGCAGAGATGAATCTAGGGGCTTTAAAATTTAAACATCTTACCTTTTTGGCATAATCTTACAATGCAGAGGTTTATTTTGTTACTTGAGGCGATGTTAACAGTTCGGAAAACATCAACTTTAAAAATAAATTCGGTTCACTTTCAAACATTTATCAGATTGTGTGCCACTGTGTTTATCCGACACTAAGCCACAAAACATTTGTAGGATAAACCAGTCAGGTCTGTAAAGTATCCATTTGAACTTGGCCTCTATTATTTTTCACCTTTACAACAGGAGACATTTTTACATGGCAGCGTACGCAGTGATGGTTGTTTTCCTTCTTTACATGCATCTTTTTATAGGCTACAGGGATTAACCTACAAACAGCACTTCTGAACATCTGTGAAATGTAAATGGCTTCTCGAGAATGCATAATTACAGCACAGCTATAGAAAAGAGGCCTGTCACACCAGTTTACGGTTCAGTTTTTTTGGGAGGCAGCCATCAAGACCAGTCTGCAGACTCTCTACAACACAGCACGCTCTTCATTCATTGACATGACTTCCAATCCAAAAGTCAAAGCTCAAGCTGTGAGTGGGACTTCATACCATTAAAGGATTAAACCGGTGAAATGTTAAAAAGGCATGTTTCATGCCTGAAGGTATTATTACTGAACATGAATACATTACTGAAGGAACATTTTACCATAGCAGTAAATCAAAATGAATCCCAAAAAGATGTACTACATTCAAATTAAAGTAGTGCTATGTGGTTACTCTCAACTACAGCAAAGGCTTTGCAGTCTAATTCAGAGTAGGGTTTTGTTCCTACAACTAGGTTCATTTGACAATAATGTCACTAACTTGAAACCAAAGGTCACCCGTTAATCTGCCTGAATAGAGCAAATCATTCTAAAGTGGCAGCTCTTGAGAACCACAAGTCTCAAGCAACGCTACTCCATCAATGATTACAAGTAGAAATCATTTTATAGTGTTGGATAACGCTTCCAGTGTTCTTGTGTTTTTATAGTCTTACAGGTGTTTTTTTAGTCTTACAGGTATCATCAGTTGTGGCAGCTATTGTCATTCAACATTTGGAGTGAGTTGGACTCGGTTAAACAGGAATTACAAGTAATGTAGCTTAGTTTGGCTAATGCAAGTGTCACGTGAGTGACATTTAAAAAGGCTGCAGCTTACAAGGAAGAATGGCAGCGTGCCAATATTAAAACTGTTCAAGGTTTATCGTGTTCACCATCTTGGTTTAGCAACATGCTAAACCAAGATGGTGAACACGACATCATTTACTAATTAACACAAAATAAGTACAAGTACGGCTGCGATTGACCAAATGGCCACGGTTACTAGTAAGTATTGGACAGATTAAAGTTTTGTGGATAATATCAACTAAAAGTTAGATTACATTAGGGTTGCCAACTTCCTCAACCCCAAAAGAGGGACACATTTTTCCAGGTGTGCGCCATGGCTAATGGATAGTTCTCGGCGGCATACTGTGCAAAACGCTTTCCTTTCGTCATTGGCGACTGCTTTAACCCATGACGTTTTGGCTTCCCATTCTTTTTTATGGCTGCAAAGTCTTTTTTTCTTTGAAGGTTCGCTGCTCATTTTGACACACGATAACGCTCACCTCCCAGTGGCCAGTTCAAACAAACTGTCACCAACAAGCAACAACCGTGTCCCATAGCAACGTTCGCGTGAGTTTTTGGCGCGTTTAAAGAAGCCTATTATTGGCCATCTAAAAAATAAATAAATAAATATTGGTTGTGATTGGAATACGGGACTGGAGCTGTCCTTGACGGGACATATCAAAATCACCCATAAATCAGGATGTCCCGGACAATTCGGGCCGGTTGGCAACCCTAGATTACATAAACTGTTGCGAGACCATGCATGTCAATACTAAGCATTGTATGCTAATCCAATTGGTTCTCTCAATACCACATATGTGGTGAAAGCTGGTAGATCACATTGTATTGTGTTCATTACCTGGTGACTCTGAATGTTTACGAAAAGTCATGGCAGCCGTTCGCAGCTAACAGCTAAGAATGCTAACCGGGGCCCATAACAGCAAGATGACTCTCAGAGCTATCAGCGTTGAGCTGAGGGGAGTCGGAGGCGTTGCGCTTACTGTAATCGGCATATGACCGGCAGAGTGATGTCAGTGTCTGCTCATGTGAACATTACTCCACTCTTGTCTCTGCATAGCAAACATGTCTTTGCAGTCATTTTAGTCCTCTGAGTATTGAATGGAGCACTAAAATAAATGTGCGGTTTCAGTATAATGTATAATGTTGGTAAAACAATGTCAATCTGAAAAAAACTTTACTTTAAAGGAGTTAATTTTTCAGTCAGTGATGTCATTGAAACGGTTTGAAAAAAAATACACAAAATAGCTTTAATGATGTCAAGTCTTTTACAGCAGGAGTGGCATAAATAGTGCTCAGCAGGTTAAAGAGGAGTCATTTGAATTCTGTCATTCATTTAGCAGTCTGGTGCTGAGGGGGCGTTGGGGCATGCGTGTGTGTCTAGTTACAGTAATTCAGTCATATGCTATTGGATTCCTGCAGGTACACAGGTTGTTCCTACAATTCTCACAAGAATCTAGTGTGTCGCAACACTTTATTACCCCTGCACCGTCAGGTGAGCAGCTCTTACATCACAGCAACCATTCAGCGAGTAGAAGCAGGTGTGTTAAAATGCTGCGGGAAGAACCAGTTTGCCTCCATGAGGTTCTGCGGGCTGTTTCTTGATGTGAACTGATAAAAGATGGCAGATAGGACAAGAAAGAAGGAATCCTTCAACAACAGCCGAAACGCTTGGCAGAGAAAGCAGGGTGTCCTTTTCAAGATTTTAAATTGCAAATGACAGACAAAACGATCAGACCATGCTGAGCACAATGAATGGCTGCATACAGATGAAATGACCTTTTTACACAAGGTACAAGTACATACAATACAGCAGTTTATAGTATTTGTCGCCGGTTGTGTTTGAAATATTCTTAAAATCGGTGCCCTGCACAAGCAAACCTACGGTTTTAACGTACCGGAGTACAAACAAGTTACATGTCCTAACTACAGTAGATTATTCATTTAAGTATCCCTTCCTAAAAAGCTACATAGGAAGCAAACCTAGAGACCATCGCATGTACACACATGTTTATACAGGAGAAAGTTAAGCAGACCGTTGCACGATTTTACTGTTTTGGGAAGTAAAAGTAAAAATGTGGTCTAGACTTCATACTGGGTTCCTGTCATGCTTTGCAGAATGTCCAAGTTTAAATAACCCACAGGGAGGTGTTCTTTTTGAAAAAGACAAAAAGAACCGGAGGGACAGCTACAGGAACTCAGAATCCCTGACGTGAGTATTGTGTCCCAAAAACTGTAAAGTCCTGAATAAAACTTAAGAGAATACCGTTTGGGGAATTGCTAGTGCATTGAGGCCTCATCTCTATCTCACCAGCTCACAGCACTGGGGAGGCTGGCCTGCAAGCGTCTCTTCAAGAATGCACTTTTAAATCAGCGGACAACACGACATTTCCACTTTCAAGTCTTGATCATGTCCTGATCCTCATTTTTGGTCTCCTCTGAGGTGCGGATGCTGTTGCCCGTATCCTGACCAGAGCTGAGCGGCCTGGAATTGGCCCTCGTCGACCGCTGCCGCCGCGTGCCGTTGCCGATGCAGCGCATGAGGTTCTTGAACGTTGTCCACATTTCCTCGTCCTTGTAGGAGTAGATGCAAGGGTTCATGACGGAGTTGAGCACGGCCAAGAGCAGCAGCACTTGTTTCGACTTCATGACGTTACAACGCTCGCATTTGAGGCCGTCCATGAGCAGCACCACCAGGCCGGGAGTCCAGCAGATCACAAAGGCCCCTTCGGGAAACAAAACAAGATTGCATATCACACACGGGTAGGCGGGGAGATACAACAAAAGATGTGTTTATTAGACCTGGTGGTGCTGGGAGGCAGATTTTGTAACCTTTTGTAATGGAAATGTTAACCGCTTCCTGTCTCCATGCTAAGCTATCCGATTGCATATTTAATCATACAGACCTAAAGTTGGGATGGATTATCTAGTCTTTAAATATGGTATTGATAATCATATTAATCTCGAGAAATTGCAATTACTACTTCCTCACGCCACAGAAAAAAGGAAATAAACGTGTGAAAAATGTGTTAAAATAATTTCAATTTGATTTAACTCTATTTCACGCTTTATTGTTTTGTTTCCTTATTTTATATGAATTTGAAAAGCAATTTACAAATCAAGTATTATACATTTAACTGCAAAGCCTTGACAAGAAGTTCAACCCATTAAAAATTCTAAATAACAACCCAAGGTCCCTTTACAAGAAACCCATGTTGTTCCAAATTAGAGCCCCGTACACCGCACTCTTCTGATGCGAGTGCCAACGTACCCGTCAAAACAACTGGCATCTACAGAAAGCCAAATGGCCAAATTGTTGCTGTTCATACAAACGATGTGTCTGATTGTTCCGATGGGTATCACAAATGGTGTCTTTGATAGTTTAATGTACTTCTATTGATGTAACTACAACATCTGCCTTTAAAAATCACTGCATTTAAGCAAAGTAATACCATTACAACAAGCAGACACATGTTACATGAGTACAATGCCATCATTATTTGAAGCTGTGTGTTTGGAAAATAATACGGATCGGGTCACAGTGTTACCGAAGCAGCCAATTGGCAGTCAGTAGATCCGTTGGGTGCCCAAACATGTTTGAAATAAATGTCTGTAGCTGAAGGGAAGCCACAAGCAGCAACTTGTCTACACAACCTGCATCGTTACAACAAAAAACAATCTCTCTCTCTTCTCTTCTCTTTTCTCTCTCTCTCTCTCTCTAGCCAGCAATTTTCAAACTTAAGTGAACCGAATTGAAATGGCTTTTTTGATGACCTCGTATTGGCAGTTTGTCATGTACTGAAGTTTAAAAGCGGACTCTCTTGCCCTTTAATCTACACGAGAGGAAAAAACGTTTTAGGAACACACATCTCAAGCATGTGCTCTTTTACATCAGTTGTTTTTATTTTAGGATGGGGAGCAAAATGTTAATATACATGCTTCAGGTCGCAACGGCGTTACACATGCTAAAACTAATTGACTTATAATTCACCATTTACTCTCATTAGGTGTCGGTGGCAATGACCAACACTCATTGACTCTTTTTCTAGGACAAAGCATGTGTGGTTTCACTTCTTTAGACTGGTTTTTCCAGATACCAGTTCCACCCAAGCAGACTACATTTCTTTTGCAGGGAATAACTTTTTTTCCTCGTAAGTAAAATATCACATGAAGCTGGACCTGACTGTACGCCTCAGAGGGCTTCAAAGCTCCTTCCTTTCTCTCTCGCTCAGATATTGCTGGTGTGTTATTTGAGCCACTTTTCAAGAGCATTTTGGTTTTACATTTCACTCCAAAGTCACAGACATCTTAACAGGGAATGACACTTGTTCTCAAGGGAACTCTACAAAGCATCTGAAAGCAATTGAAAAGGTCCTCAAGTATAGGTTCTCGTTTTTCTCCTGGATTGGTGAGGAGGAGGGGATTTTCACTGAAGGCCAGTGCACGGTGGTGTGGTGTGGTGTGGAGGGTACGCCACATAGGCTCAGGGGCAGTGTCCTCGCGGGGAGAGATAATTACACAGAAATCTGCAGGGCAGTGTGTGCAGAAGGCAGACAGCAGCTCCTACGCTGCAAACTGTAACTAGCTGGCCCGGCAAACAAGCCGAATGCCCAAAGAAACAAAGACTGACTTTTATCCTGCAGGGCAGGCGTGCAAACTCACAACAACTATCTCTGGCGTATGAGGAATGTACGACAGTAAAAAAACCGTTAAACTCATCTGACCAGCTTTCTGAAATACATCGGAGTTTGATGGTTGTGTTATATCCAGATGAGATCCAGCATTCAAAAGCATTTTGTGGTGCCCGGGTAGTTTCATTCTTCTAGTTCCGTTCTTGTAGGAATCGGCCAGGATTTAAGATTTTAAAAAATGTCATTAACAAAATAATTAGACAATCGAATAATTGTCAGTTTAAGTTACTGGGCAGAAAATCGGACAGAGATTCTAGTTTTTTTTCATAAAACACTCAATCCCTCAAAGCATTTACGGAGAGCAAACGTGTTATTGTCCTCAAGGTTTGCCTCCATATCAGGAAAACGGATTACAGAGTGTTCAGCAGTGAGTCTGTGCATTGCCTGAACTTTGTGACCTTGTCAAAGAACACTCGGCTCAACAGCAAAACTGTTTACAACTGACTAATGCATGAATTCTTTATCAGTGACTCCGCACAAACCAAATGACTACGATAAGCACCTACCGAGCACAACCATGACCGTCTTGATGAGCTTGATGGGCGTTCTCTTGCGGTTGATGGAGCCGCTGGTGTGCGGCGAGAGAATCGCCGTCTTCTTCTTGACGTAGGTGTAGATCCTCGTGTAGATGGCCACTATCACGAGGAACAACACCAGGTTAGATGCGGACCAGAAGATCAAGTAGCTCCTGCTGAAGATGGGGGCCAGTTGAGAGCAGTCGCTCAGGTTGCAGATGCAGTTCCAGCCCAGACTCGGCACGGCGCCCATGAAGATGGAGATGCCCCACACCAGCACGATGAGCAGGGTCACCCTCCTCTTTGTCAGGTTGCTGTGGACTCTCCAGTTCATGACAGAGATGTAGCGCTCCAGAGCGATTACCAGCAGGTTGGCCAGCGAGGCCGAGAGACTGATGTCCAGAAGGCCTTGACGGATGAAGTATTCTTTAACTGTAAGTTTCCGCGACACCTCACCGGTGTTAAACATCAGGTACACGTACGCTATGCCCGCCAGGAAGTCCGAGGCAGCAAGGTTGGCCAGGAGATAGTAGAAGGGATAGTGAAACCTCTTATTGGTGATGACAGCAGCTATGACCATGGCGTTGGAGACCAGGATGAAACAGCAGAAGAGAGAGCCGACCACCTGCACCAAGGTGAGCAGGGTTTTGTCCCATTGGTCATTAGCGCCGGTGTTATTGTAGAAAAAGCCCATGGACTCATTGTAATGGCAACTGTGGTTCTGTTGGTCCATTTTAAAAAGGAGTGTCTGCGGAGAGAATGAGAGAAAACAAAGTGGAACCATTTCTCGATCAGCTATCTGAAGAAGTACAGCTAAAGTGAATTTATAAATGGCTATTCCAACAACAAAAATCCAATGTGTTCCTAGTTCTTAAAATTGATAATCTAATATAATCCAATCATCTAAAAATCTAATTTCTATCATATAGACATATGTGTTTTGGACTGTTTCTGGGAAATTAGGATGGAGAAAAATGACAATTTTGACTTAAAACCAAATGATTCATCTTATAATCTAGAAGATAATTAGCTGAAAATATAAATCCAATTATGTCCAATGAAATATATCTATACATTACCTTCAGGGCATTTAACTCCAGTTTTTTTATAGATTTCAATGCATACAGCAGAATGGAATGACATTTCTAAATGTCAATATTGTATACGCCACTTTAGTGCAAGGTGCCAATTTCCCCGACGCCAAAACGGCTTTAACGACCGCAGTCCAAAGGGAGATTTGGACGTGCCAAATAAAACAGAAGGAAATCACAGTAAGCTCCATTACTAAAGTCAAACAAGATAGTGACCGTAGACACATTAAAAGTGCTTCTGCATCGTCTACTTGTACAAACATTTTTGAGTAAACACCATACAGACATACAGCAAAACACTTCACCTGTAAGTAAGAATCCTTTAATACCGGATTTCTGAAGATCAACAAACATGAAGGAGGCAGTGATGAGACATTCCCACAGAGGGAGTAACAAAGACAACCGGGGGGAAAAACCCAACTAAAACAACTAAACTTCTCTAATCCCGCTGGACGAACACAAGATCTACCTGAACGACCGAACGGGCCGCTGGTTCCCTTTCAGGTGAGCCTACCTGCGCGCGAGGGTCTTCAGCGGTGCGTCAATAAGCGGGCGGCGAGTTGCGCAACCTTCCGTGCGGAGCTCGCTGCGATCATTGTCTCCCTGCGGCGCTGCGCCTGTGGACGCGGGGGAGGAGACGGACGCGAGCGGCGAGGAGCCTCTTCGCTCTCTCGACTCCTCACTCGCGTGACGCGGAGGGCGTGTGCAACGCGTTGCGTCTCGCGAATTCCACCGGTCGATTGAACGCGACGTGGGTGGGGGAAGGAAGAAGGGGCAGGGGGGGGAGACACCGAAACCCACCGGAGCGTTTCGTTTTTTTAGGGACCGTCCGCGCACCCGGAGAGGCACGTGCGTCAGTCCGTCCGTTCCTCCACTCCTGTGGGATAATCTTGACTTTGAGCGTTTTCGTCTTACGCCACGTTTCAGTTAAGGTTTTAGGTTAATTATTTACAGCAAAAACTATATACGCTAATAATGAACAACTGTGTTAAAGATTAAACTTGTGGTTTCCAAATTACGAATGAAAGTATTACCGGGGCTGCTTGACATGGTTCCTTTGGCAATGAGTATCAAAAAGATTTCCCAGATTTTCAAATTGAGCCTCAAATGAATCCCTATTTTTTTTTAAATAGCCATGTGTGTAAATGTACACTAAAATCTGTTGAAAGGAAGGCTGTACAGTATATATGCCACTCTTGTCTTTGATGGTTAGAAATAAACACACACACAGCGGACATCAAGGGACACATAAAAGTAGCCCAGCTGGGGAAAAAAAGGTCTTTTCTTTAGGCGTGCATTTGATCCAACATGTTGTGTAGTCGTGCAAGGGGACACCTTCCAAACACATTAAAAGCACATAACTCACGCTCAGGGCCGTGCTGCAGCTTGGCTCAACACCAACAACTGTTGGAGATAAAACTGACTCACACTAGTTCTGGTTTACTCAAACAAAGCTCCCACTTCGCCTAATCCCATCTGTGAATGCGTTTCGCAATTTTCAGAAACCTTTGGTTTTTTTACAGTAGCGTGTGGGTTTGTATTGCAATGTTTTTAACATATAATATTGACCAGTTAGGCAGCAAGTTAAGCTTTAACTAATTACATGAGATCTGCTGTCTGACTAAATCTGCCCATTTAGGGGAAACAATAACAATAGACAAATTAGAACTTTTGTTTTACTGCAATTTGAATGTCAACACTTGACAAACATTTTACATCCAGCACAGCATAATGTTGCATAACACCAGGGTTTGCAGCCACGGTCAGAGGAAACCAGTGAATCCAGTTCTTTGGCAACTAAACGTATTTACAGACCTTACAAAAAGGCCCAGTAAACGTCTCAACAGCAGCCTCAACTTCAATAGATACCATTTTGTAACCTTTTTTTATCTTACCAGCTAAAGCTCCAGTTTACTTAAGAAAAAGGGGACTTGAATGTTGTGTCTTATTGCACATTCAGCAATTCTGCACAGTCAAGGATTTTGCAGGGTATGGTTTGATCTTGAAGTCGTTTGATCAGACGTGTGACGTCATGTTTTCGGCAACATCCTCCTCCTCCCTGATCCGTGTCCTGTGGAGGTGGAACAGCGGTCAGCTGATCAGTACAACATCGTCACTTTCTGGAACTCTGCAACAACATGAATCAAACAGAAGTGTGAGACGCCCAAGGTCTCACCGTCATATGAAGCACGTGCTTTCTGCTCGAGGACACAAAGACCACAGGAACGCACTGCTAAACATTTACTACGCGTTTAAACTCAACATAGTCTCTCACACATCAGAGTTGATTAGGGTTATTCACACTAGATACAAAAAAGCATCACTCTTTATTATCCGGTCTTCCACCTGCACACTGGTTTGGCTATTACACACAGAGACAACCAAGGGATGCAGGAGGTTGGAGTTTCTGGCGATTGTACCCATTTTGAGAATTAACCCCTCCCCCAAAAAAAAGCACACACCACCAGCTTTATGCCAATTTCTTGTGTTTGGTTGTTTGCTCTGCAGATAATTAGTGTGTTGTTAATATTTTTTTATTATACGTAAAAATAAAAAATAAACTAAAATCGTAATCCGACTCCGATGGGAACCCCTCTCTGTCCTGGTTTCCTCAAGTCCTATGAGTCATCTTGTAAAGTCGCCACGCACAGAAATGTCTCTTTAAGACTACAGTGACCAACAATTTGCCCAGATTCCAATTGGCGGCGTTGAACTGCTGCTCATTATACCAACAGGGATGAAAATCCAGAAGTAGCCCTGCATAAAAGGGGATGATAGAGGAGGAGGGGGGGGGGCTTCTTGGTGTAAGGTGGGAAGATTCAGGCCTGTTGAAAAAAAAAAAAAAACTCCCAAATGAGGCCACGAGTGGCACAGAATTAATGCCACATCAGGATCTACAAAGGACTGTCATGTCAAGTTGAGCGACACCCTGCTCCTGCACGATTAATCCTGTGGTGACAAGCCTCCGGATCAGCGTGGAAGCTCCCGTCTTGGAACACGACTGGTTCAAGTAGATAATGGGCGCCCATAACGCCGACAACAGTGACCAGAGTTATCAGAGTTGGTGTAACCACACGTCAAAAACTGACATTAACGCCATTTATGGTCGCTCAGGACGTTTTGCATGCCTCACTATGACACTACATTAAAGTCTAATTCAAAAAAGAAAGTCAACAGTTACACATCGCTATTGCCACATTGGCAACATCTTCAGTGTAACCAGTGTAGCATTAAAGCATGGTGTAATTAAAGAGCAAGCAAGCTAACTAGCGGAGAGCGGTAGGGACGCAAAGCTTTGTCTATTCGACCGAGACACCTTGACGCAGCCCTCTGTTGATGGCACATCTGTCCCCCCAGAGAAATAAACCAACAGAGCGGAGTGACTTTACTGCCCCACTGATGTGTGTTGCTGCCATAAAAAGTACAATTCTGTTTTCTATTGTCCAATAGCTCAGGTTACTTTTGTACACAGCTTAGTACTTAAAACAGACTCTTGGTTAAGCGGTTATGCACGTACAATTAATGAACTACAGCAGATACAGTAAAGTCATCAATTGACTATACATTCATTGTAATCAAGGGAGCAATAGTATACAATTATCACTTTTTTTCTGTATATTCAATATACAGTTCCAACCACAGGCCTCTTTTCAACTGTCAAAATGGTTGCATTTATCCCAAAGTTTGAAATCTAACTAAAGGGCAACCCTATACTTTCCAAACTAGATAACCTACCACAGTAGGAGACAACACCATTGGGAGAAGATAATTGCATGAAGATGAAATTTCATCCAGTAAGGCATTACAATGTTAGCAGAGGACGCTGATCTAATTTTTGAAAGCAGAGAGAAAGACACTCATGAAAATGAAATTTGGTTAATTCAATGTCGGCAATTACAGAATGTGTGTAACTTGACAACTTGACCTAATGTCAACAAGTCCGCCGAAGTTTTATGCTCAAGTCCACCAAGATGCGAATTCATTTGTCAGTGTAGCATTACATTGTCACGATTAACGATTATTCCATAATGGCTGTGTAATTGAAACTAAACATCCTTTAACACTCAAATCCGGACAGTTCGGAGACAGTGGAGCAGTCCGGGATGATGATCATAGTCAAAGTGTTAATGCCTGGTCAAATAAAAATATGGAGGTTTTTCTTACAGTATGCCAGTACAACTACAAAAAAAAATTCAAATTGTTGAAATGGATTCAGTAGAAATAGAACGATGGTGACTGTGACAGAGAGCAAACCTGGTATCTGTTTAAAGTCAGGCATTTCTCAGACAGACAACTGGGAAACGCGTCATCTATTAAAAGGATGTTTCAGATTAATAAGAATGCAGAACCAAAGGTTTGACACCGCAGTCTGCTGTATTGCAGCTGTAAACCATTCAACATTTGTAGAAACAGACAGGAAGTATTGACTTAGCACTGTGGTCGTTCGTAAAAAAAAAACCTGCTCCGCCGCTTCAAAATGCAACTCAACATTGGAACACATTATTCCTGTTTACAAAAGGAGTAACGAAATGAGGAAAGTGCACACAGTGCGACACGTTTCTTCAATACAAAAAACACACGCACAAGTTATTGAACTGGCGCCTCACATTAAATAGCTCGTCTAAACTAATTAGCATGCATTACCAAAACCAGCTCTTCCAGCTCAGTTGACTCAATGTTGACTGGGGACCGTTTATCGGACCGCCTGCACAGCAGGGAGGGAGGGAGGGAGGGGGGCAGGATGGGAAAGGGAGTGGAAGAGGGTGGAGTGTGGAGGCGGAGAGGTGGGGGGGGGGTTCTTCCCCAGAGCAAAGCCTCAGTTTCTCTGTAATCAGCCCATCGTTGGGTGTGTCTGCATAGCTCCCACCACTAATTCCATTGCTCTCCGACCACGCAAGACCGAGCCAAACCACAGCGCGGAGGAAACTCCAGTCTGTCGCCTGCTGATGATAGAGATTGGCTCATGGAGAAGGAATGCGCCGAAAACAGGGACGCATCGACAAACACAATGTCTTGCTGCAGCAATAACGTGTAGCTACTCAGAAAAGTGTTTTTTTTTACTAATGTTGGAGTTAGTTACTACAACACACTCCTATTAGGTCTTCAAACGGTATCAATGATAATGAAGTCTCTATATGACCTATTACGAGTAAAACCAGTCAACCAGGGAGAGGATTGGCCATTTTTTGCCCTGTTGGGATTCAATACTGACACCACACTGCTGGAGACACACACTCCTGGGTCTATTGGAAGGAAGAACCAGGTCCGCAGGGGCCGTCACAATCAACACAAAATTTAAAATTACCTTAAATTGGTACCCGCTAATGTAATACTATGCGATATTTCGTCAGTTTTGATTGTCTAAATTGTTGACTGCGGTGATGTTGAAAATCAACATAACTTGCAGCTGTAATCTTAAAATGAAAAGGATTGGTTAAATTATGAGATTCTTGCAGCAGCTTAAAAAGTTATATCTGTACGCATAATATATCTGGATTGCACTTCTATTCTTTTTTCTTTACACCTCCAGTCAATGCTTAACCGCATTGTCATCTCAGTACCTGACAGTAAATCTGATCCGAATCCGATCTGAGATTTAAAGAGAGCTAACCCACGTGGTTTGTTAGATATTATTGATTTAAGCTCAGAGTGACACGCCCGCGTCTGTGACGAGAAGTCATGTTTGTACAGAAGCCGCTTCCAGGTGTAAATGGAAAATGTGTTGGGAGTATTGGATTAAATATCAAAGTAACGAACACAAAAATAAACACCGTCATACTTTGGGCAGCAACACAACAGAGAGGATCTGATGCGAAGATCTGTCTGACTGCTCTCCTCTGCAACGGGAAAATCCTTCTGCTCTCTCAGGAACTTCTGCAGGTCAGTCGGCGGGAATCCATCTTTTTGGAACCTCTGTACAAGAAATGTAAAAAAAAAAAAAAGAATTTAAAAACCGAATTGCAGCACAGGTTGGATTTTAACATTTTTCGCACTGTTGTAGAGTACAGCGAGAGACGGACGGAAGCGGAAGTACCTTGATGGTCTCATAGGCGTCGGTGATGAGGGCGATGAAGAGCGACAGCACCATGTAGATGAAGAGGGAGATGAAGGAGTAGAGGTAGGCGCGGCTGAAGAGCCACACCAACGTGTTTTTGTCCTTCAGCTGGGCGAAGGTTGTGAACATGTCGTCGCCGTTCAACAGAGAGAACAGGCACTCCGCTACGCGACTCAGGCCCTCGAACTAGGGATGTAGGATTGGAGCACAGTTGCATATCATATTAATTCATTATTTAACACAAAGTCAGCATATCAAGTTAAATCTGAATACGGGCCTGTTTTGTCTGTAGTTTTAATATGGGTCTGTTTTTAAAAGACAAAACTAAAAAATGTTATTCATCCCAGAGACACAACTAAGGGGAAGGAGGTGCGGACCAACAGACGCACGATGGACGTGGAACGACGAGAGATGGAAAGACACAGATGAGATAGTATCTAAAAACAACATCCGGATCCCGCTGCGACGGTATGGTTTCCAGCACTTGGCGACGTGTGGGATGGCAAGTACAACAACGTACGGTGTTTATTCCTTCAGTAAACACCAGGGGGATCCTGGACGGGCTGACCGCACACACAGCGGGGTACTCCTCCCCCCCCCCCCCCCCCCCGGTCCCTTCAAGCCCGCGGGGGGGGGGAAATATTTAAAAACAAGGCTTGGTTTTCGGGCAAATTTGGCCAAAAAGGAACCGAAACCGGCACCCCCAGCCCTTTTTACAGGATGGACGGTTGGACCAAAAAGCATTTTAAAAAACAATGTGGGGTTTTTAAGCCCGAAAAAACCCCGGGGGGCAAAAAAACGGGGGAAAACAAAATACATAAGAACACTTCAAACTCTGATACCGCAATAACTAATCCCAAAAAATTACCACATTTCCATTTGGTAAGCGAGACATCAGTCAGTCCGGGGCGGGTGAGCTCAGTCTATCTCACATCTGTCTCATCCAGAATGAGCACTGCCTTGTTTAGACGCCTAACTGCTGCTAGGACTTCCGTAAATAATTTATCTTAACAGGCGAGGACAGTGAAACACACACATTTTCCCCGATGGCACTTGTTGTCCAATGATCTCAAGGTTAAGGTGAGAGTGGTCTTCCCTTTCAAAAGGTCCCCTGATTGCAGTCAAAGTAGTTGTTGACATTACACATCCGGTTTTAACTTTCCTTAAAAGCTCATCAATATTTGTATAACAAACATATTGTATGTTTTGTGGTGGAATAAATGGTTTTAAAGATGCAAATCACATCATTCATTTTGAGCTCTGCAAATGTCATGCCTCTGTCTCTCCCCTCATTTTCCATCACCTATACAATGACTAATAAAAATCTGAATAAACCTATTAATAAAGTCTGAGTAGGTGTGTACATAGATGTGGAAAGTGTCCCAGTTAACATCTGGTCCCAAGGATGGAACGCTGATCTGACTGAAGATGGGGATTTCAAGGACAGGACATATACTGACATCTAGTGGTTGTATGTTCAGTGTGTTTTATCAGAAAATGCCGTTTCAGCCAATTCAATGATGCTCACACGCTAATGCAACGCTTTTCTCTGGACCTCAGCAGTCCTGGAGGGAGACTGAACACAAGTCAAGTGAAAAAAGCCTTGATAGTTCCCCAAATGGTCGTCGATGCAGATCTTCCCCACCAGCAACTGCCACGCTAGAAACTCACTTCTAATAACTCAGGCCCCCGCATCCTATGTGCTCCTCGGCCCGGGTGAGAGGATTACCTTCTCGTGGTATGGTCCCAGTACAATCCAGCCACAGAAGGTGTAGCCGAGGTAGATCATGCCGGCGCAGCAGCAAAAACGCAGGACTTTGGGGAAGGCTGCTTTCATGGTTAAAATCAATACCTACACACAAAGTATGGACACATGGATTATTATTGAATGAATGAATGTGTGAAAAAGCAATCCACAAGGGGAGAACAAAAAAAAAAAAACAGACTCACATTGTATTTCTGGAAGTATCCCAGGTACCTTATCACGCCGACCCACACCATTAAAGTAGACGTCCCCAGAAAGATACTGCACACATCATAACTGGTGAGACTCTACCGGAGAGGGAAGAAATAAATAAAAAGAATCAGGCCTCAATAAAGTCTTATAATATTGGTTAACATTTAGTTGTGAATGTGGCACACGCTGGCCTCTGCTGCAGTGACTGAGATAACGGTCAGGAAACATCTTTTGTTTGTGGTGAACTTGATAAAATGAAGGCTACAAGTACAATGTGGAAGTGCAATTGAGTAACATCCCATCAATTGTTGAGCAACGCTTAACATGATGCGTCATTGGCCTCCCGTTCTATGGTTACAACATAGATCTCTGTGGACATTTAAGACTACGCTCTATTCTAGATCGATTTAGTCAACAAGTTTAAAGGTAGAATACCGGTGTAAACATCTTGTAAATGTTTTATTGCGTCCAGTTGTTGAGTTTATTCCATTTTGGAAAACGGGTAGAATTAGTAACATTAACGACAACGCATTTTGAATCATTGCTACAAGCTAATAGGAGACCAGCTTGGTGAGACAAAAGTTGGGTTGAGATTGTGGTAAACACTGAACATGGGGTCTATAAACAGGACAGGAAGCCAGTGACTCATTTAATACTTTCATTCCCAGGTTAAGCAAACAAGGGAGACGCTCCTAGAATGTTATGTCACATTGGTTTCTTTCATTCAGGGACATAACGGACTACCCTTTTTGATGTTATCTTCTGAACCACCAAACATTCAAGCTTTTTTTGGCCTGATTGGACATTTGTATTTACTGAACTACATACTTTTTTATAGCTGGGGGAGAAGTAAACAATGCAGGACTCCTTTTACATGCTTTCGACACACGTCTCTTTGAGGCCTAACAGATAAAAAAAAAAAATGATTTAGTTTACCTTTGCTTGTATTTCCACCTTCAGTATTGATCCAATAATGGCCAAGAGGTCGCTGACAATTACCAGCACATACCAGCCATTCAAAAACTCATTCTGATCATCCTCACAAACTTTACGATTGTAATTCTCGCGGAAGAATCTGGAGAATCTCTGAAAATAGGAAAAAAAAGACAGTTCAATCCTTTACAGAAAAATTATTTACAACCCAAAACACACCAACATGATTATACCAGTTGATAGATGTCATCACATAGATGGTATTTCAGACATTGCAATAAACATTGGGCTTAGAAAAAGGAAAGTGGCGGCGTGAGGGAATCCCTGTAGGATTCTGAGCAGCCGACCTGAAGCAGGCGCACAGCCAGCACAATGGAGCGGGTGCACAGCACAGCTGATGTGAGGCAGACGATGATGACGAAGCCGTCAAACAACAGCAGATAGTGGGTGTTCTTCTCAGCTGAAACAGAAACAAGAGAGTGTGTGAGGGAGAGAGAGAGAGAGAGAGAGAGAGAGTTTATCTTTTACGTAACTGCCTCACACTCAATACTGATAACTACCAGGCAGTCAGTTAGGCAGGCACACGCCTAACTGACTGCCAACCGAAAAATGACAATTGTTTCTTTGGGGCCATAAAGTTCCGTTTACATGTTTTTCGATGGATAAGACGTCACGTTTTGAAACTCAAATAAGTTACATTTTACATAAATTATTGTGAATCAAAAATTGGATGCAGCCGTTGTTACCAAACTGCCAGACTTATTTTTACAATTATGCATCTCTACAACAGTCACCTTATCTTATCTGGAGATGCAAAGGTTCAGGGTTTGAATCCCCCTGCTGCAGAGTCCTGTTCTCCATCAATCAATCAATCACTCAATCAATCTACGTGGTGCATTTTAGTAAGTGCTGTTCGAGGTCAATCTGCTGGGACCAGGATCATTTCTTATCATACGAGTAAATTATTATAGACCGCTACAGCTTACCCGTTCCGGATATCTTCCAGTCCTGACATGCGCTGCTCTCTACGTCAATGTCCAGGAATAGTTTCACCTTTCCACTGTGACACTGGTTGTCAAATGTTATCTGGAAAGCCCAAATGTTGAAAAAAAGACACTAAAATGATGAGAAAAGTAGTGGTCCTTCCAGTCAAAGGCTACAGTAGTAGCCTGTTCAATCTGTTAAAATGGTTCTTTTATGTTGCGCGCACCATTTTATTTTATTTATACATTTCTTTTGCAGGGACAATGCACACTAATCAACAGCTGTACTGTAAGGGAGCTATAGTGAGCTAGAGAGGCTAATTTACATCTGCTGTCCCCGGCCAGATGTTTTTAAGGCAGCCTAACGTAATGAAAACTATCATATTCTTATCCTGGATGGCATGTAATAGAGACAGAAAATATGCCCGACACGTACCGTAATGTAGAAGGAGTAGCAGTCGGGTAACTCCCGGTAACGCACCGTCTGTAGGTTGATGCCTTTCAACGGGAAGGTTACTTTTATGTCAACAAGCCTTTAAGCGAAATGGAAGAACTTTAATGTACGGTAAAGAAAAAGTAAATGTGCAGCCACATGCAGTACATCGATGAGAGCACGTTTACCTGTAAAAGTCCAGTTCAAAAAAGGAGGAGTTGCGTGTTCTCCACTGGCTTGCCGTCTTTGGGTCATGTGACATACAATCTGAGAGGGGAGATGAACAGGGTGAGGAAACGAGCGCCGTCTATTCCTCTAAGGCTCTTGTATGTAGTCTCTCATATTTATCTAGTCATTTCAGTTTTACCATAACAAGGAGTGGAAAACCTTAAATACAAAGATTTAATATTCATATTGGCTCAAATTAAAACAGAAGCAGACATTTATTTATATATAAATTATTAATGGTGACAATGCAGCCGCTTTATTCCATTTAATTCTATGTTCATATACTTCCTATATTATGTACTGGAAGTTGAATGCTTGTTTATGTTTTTGACCAATGAGTTTCTACATAGAAAGAAAAAACAGGAAAAGTAAAAACGTTTACCATTGAATTGTAATTCCAATTAATCTAGGAGGATTTTCTCACCAAGAATATAAAATAAATGAAAACCTATTAATTTAGTAGTCACATTTACAAGGTTATGATGTCTAATTAACTCTCGATGTTGCCATATACATGAAAGTATGATCCCAGTCACTGAATAGTGAGGCACACCGCTTATTAATTAAAAGACTCTTATCAGCTCCGATGTGAATGTTCCCGCTCACCTGGCTCCAGCTGGGCATCTATATCATACGCCTCACCTGAGGGGTCCACGCTGCCCCTCCTGTAATGTTCTTTGCAGACGATGAGAGGCAGCAGTTTGCCGTCCTCGTCCTCCCCGTAACTGAGAGACCCCACAGAAAGCCGGCCCAGCTGGCTGTACTATAAGTGTCAGAAACCTCAGGTAAATCAAACGGTAACCATGGTGATTTACCATGTTGGTCAGAAACTGCCAACTGCCTTAGCACACGTGAAGCCTGCACACATATTAAGTGGAGAGTTGCAGTTCCCACAGCAGCCCGTTTCAGAGGATTAACAGGCACATGTTGAATAGTTTCAACCCTGATATGGATTGAGTGCGGGTACATGCCTGATCCATGACATAAAACAGACTGTCGTAGACGCTTTGTTGGGTGTAGACAGCGACGCTGTAGTCGTCCTCATCCACGCCGGTGTAGCCCTTCAGGAAAAGGTTTTTGAGCGCCATCATGTTCTCCTCCTTGTAGGCCACCACCAGCTGGTTGCTGAGGCCGAACAGGATGAGCTGTGGAGGGAACAAGTGGAAATGGGAACGTTCAAGTTTCATTTAAATGCTTGTGAAGGTAACCGACTAAAGGTGTGCAGGTGGTCACGATGGAGGGGGTCGTGTTGTCCAGGTCTTTTTAAAATAATTTTCAATTTCTCAAGCGATGGCAGTGATTTGGACTTTGTCTTCACATAAAATACACTTTATAGCTAGTAACTTTTAAAATAGTGCGGTGTCACTTTGTTGACTTTGGAACTTTTCTACAAAATTCTCATTTTTAACAAGAAGATTTGCATTCTGTAGGTTCCCGTTTGTTAAAATGGAAACACAAATAAACACTTATTCATGACTGCCAAAACTATATTTCAAACCAAAAATACTTCCACTTATTTTTATTCTGATTCTTGTGTTTTTCAAATGTTCAAGACCAAACCTCAAACTTTTAGGTTCACATTTGTTTTTCAAAGGATCAAAACTTTTGGCCTGAGTTTGGCTCCATAGTTTTGCTGCATTGGACAGAATACTGTGTGGATCTTTGCAAATCCACATTCATCCCACTGTTCATACCTGTGTTGTGATCATGACGATTTTAAGAATCTGCACCGCAAGTTTCCAGGGTAAGTGTCGTCGGGCTCGGTACTTCTCACACGGGCTCATGAAGTAATACTTGAGGTCATCTCTCAATTTGTCCTCTTTGATAACCTCTTGAGTTAACGCAGCGCTGAAAAGAGAAGTTACATTCGAATGTAATGTCTTCCCACAGCATGGGGGGAGAATAACAAGAGGCCAGGATACAGCACTCTGGGTTTAAAAAAAAGGAAAACAGAAGTGAAAGCAGCAGTTATTTCATTATAATATATTTGAGCAATAGTCACATCATTCACAGAGGACTCCATGTACCAAGTACACTGGCTGTATTCATGATGGTGCTGGCTGGGTTTTAGTCCAAGGTTACTTCAGGGAGTGCACGGTTTAAAAAAATATTTATTTTCCCAACAGCCACCCCCTCCTCAAAAAAAGGTGAAAACCTTTTAATTTGTTGAATTCCTGTTTTGGTCTGGTGCGTTCAAGAATTATTAAATGATTTGTTGTAGAAAACGGCAGGAAAGCAAGAACCAGGTTACGCAACCTAGTTTTTTCATTTTGTCCAGTTAACACTTTATTTCAGAAACATAATTTTAAATGCACCGGACGCGTCGCATATGCCCCCCAAGCTAGTTTTGAGCGCCAGTCATTAAACATTAAACATAATTACTCACCTAATTGAATTGCTCCGTTCCAGATACCGAACCAATAATTCCATGACTGATTTCCCCCACGTGCGCTGTGAAGAGTATGTGGTTGTCAAAAGAACGACAGAGACTTGCCGGGGACAAGTCTCTTCAGCTGGGTGATCTGTGACACCACGCAAACGTCCAGGTAGCCAATCAGGAAATGACTTCCAGCCGATATAAAGGTGTCCAACCCACGGCCCGGGGACCCGCCCGCGGCCACCAGGAGCGTCAAGATGCGTCCGCGGCAAAATAAATGACAACACGCTGCTAAGAATGTGCCGACACCACAAATCTTTTATTCCAAATGTTTATAACATTGACATTTATATAAGAATATACATTTATATATATTTCATGAATATACATTGTGAAAATATATTTATATTACATTATAAAATAAGATCTTTTAAAAATATATACATACACAGGTAAACTTATTACATAATTACATGTACACGAAGTACATAAGGATTATTGATTCAAGACATTTTGTAACAAACATTGATGTCTGAATTGCATATTACAATATCCTCCACTGTGCAGAAGCATACTGACAGCAATCCTGTTATGATTTGCATAAGCAATTTAAATCTTCCAATATAAAATTAATGCAAGAAGCCAAATTTACTTCGGCATTGCTATTTATTGAGCCAATTATATACAGGCAGTTGATCACAAAAATAATGATTAGAAAAAAGAACTGCAAAGAAATGTCTTTTTATTTAAAAAAAATAAATATTTTTATTATGTTCATCACAATTATATTTACTTGCATCATTACAGTTGAATGATCAAATGTTTTTAAGAGAATGATTTCCATCCCTGGGTAATGCACACTGTAACACTGAATCGACGAATAGTGTTAACATCTAATTTCCTCCAATTTTTATAACTAGATATACCAAACATTGTTGCTGACGAGGGATTTTCAATTGAACGGCAATGAGGTTAAGTCGGCAAACACTTCAAAACGTACATACACAATGTACATTTCAGTCAAGGACATCCCCCCTTCTTGGCCTCACCGCCTGTAAAGTCCAGCAAGAAGCACCAAACTCCGATCACGTTTAATTTCCAGAATTGACTGATGAAGCTGCCGATGTTTCCTGAACTGGTACTCCAACAGTTTCAACAGGTGGCAGCGAGACATATGAGGTGCTGTCTTCCACGGAGTACAGATCCTGCAGTGAGGGAGTTAACATACAAAAATATATGAAACAAAAATCCTTACATGGTTCATAAACAAGTGTCCTAGTAGCAAATAATATATGCACGAACCAAATCATTTTACATTTAGGAGACATTTCAACCATCAAAACATAAGTCTATAAAAATTCTGAAATTATATTAACTTTCTTTAGATTTTAGGAAGAAGAATATATTTCCTTTGCTGCTACAACCCTTCACATGGCAATAGAAACACATCAGCTAAATCTATTCTTAAAAAAAAAAAATTTAAGAGCGCACTAAATATGTTAGGTTGTTCACAAATGTCCCATTTATAGCCACGGGTGTCGACTCATGAGAGGAAAAAGAAAATATGTCTGGTTCCAGAGAACAATGATGCAGTGGCAAAAAACTATTTTAATCAAACAGTCATTTTGTGAGATTTTGGGGACCATGAGGTTGAAACCACAGTATGCCGTTGCATCCCAGTTCAAATACACTGCACTTATAATTGGTGCTATGGTGACAAGTATGGTGTGGCAGCAAAAAAAATATGCACATAAAGCTATAAAATCTATCCATGGGTTACGGACATTAACAAGCACAAGACAATGACAAAAATACAAAACTCAAACTCCCTCAAAATATGTTTTGTATCTAGTTATTAAAATACTTATTTACCTATTTATGTTGATGTGCAAAGCTGAAACATTAAAACAAACAGTGTAATTTAAATGTTAAATCACGTCACGTTTGTCGGTATTATGCTGAATATTATTGAGATTAATTTGATAAAGTTTTATGTAGATAAAAAAACACCTTACCTGAACATTAGCGGAAGACTGCTGCCGTCCTGCTGGCTGAGTTGCTGCACTGTCTTTGACAACTTTATTTGGAGAAAGCAATTCATTCCCTATCAGTGGTCTTTTCTTTGAAGGCAAAGAGTCTGATTCAGTTGCTTTCGTCTTGGATATGGTTGTTTCAGCGGCAACACCGATAGCACTTTCCCCTTCTATCTCATGGAAGTTTTCCGAATTTGACTCAGCGGAGAGATTTGGGTCCGCCTCCTGCTGCTCGGCATCCGTCTCGTCCCCACCGTGAGGGGGCTCGGCTCTGCCTAGCGACTCCACGGTCGGGTCGGGCTGCCTCTGACGGACCTGGTTCCCGTGCAGTCTGTCTTCAACTGCTTGATGCATTGGGGCTTGCAGCGGTGCGTCCCCTCCTGCCAAGTTGTCCCCGGCCAGGACCTCCTGGACCCTGGGCTGCGGTTGCTCCAGCTGCGGAGGAGGGGGGTCGCCTCGGGGTCGACGAAAAGGTGCAGCGATGCCATGCTGGAAGGCCGCCTGCACACCGCCATACATGCAAACCTGTAGGGGAGTGTAAGGACACGTTACCTGATGTCTTTCATCTGTAACAAAGTTATTTCCCAATGGGTCCTTACCACAATAGCAAGCACGATAGTGAAGAGAACTGGAATCTGCAGGGTAAATGGTAGATCTTTGAGAAGTGCAACTAGGAACTCACTGATCCCCTGTCCAATGTGCTTCAGCGGCTCCGTTATCATCGTTGTGATGGTAACTGCGAACGCCTAAACAAAGAGGGATGTTTGAGGGTCACTTTGCATGCACCGTTCCCAAATTCATGCAGACATTCAAATCTGATATGAATCTTAGATAGTATGGTTTACGACGATGTCGAATGGGAACACATCCATTTGGCAAATGTTTCATTCCATTTTCTCAATAAAGAACACATTTTATTCACTATCATCAGAAACTTACAACATACCTTGGTTGGAGGAACCAGCAGAATCGGGTTGACCAAGAGGAGTTCATAATATTTCTTACAAGGGTCGCCTTGAAGAGTCCAGCTGCTTCTGAACCACTCTGCAAGAAGATGCCCAAAGACAGTAGAGGGGTAAGAAAGCAGCTAAATAATATCTTTAGTGCAAACCTATAATGGTCCTAACCTTTCAAGCTATCACTCCAGTCAATTTTCTTCACTCCCGTGCATTTTTCATAAACCCCATCCATCTTTGCCATGTTGCTTTGGTGCTCAGCAAAGGCAATCTGAAAAAAAATGAGAAAAAAAAGAACGCATCACAAACTTATGTCAAAAAAAAGACTAACTTAATGACACCTAAATAAGAGCCAATTCGCAAAAGCGCTTCACCTTGTAGAGATATAGCCAGTTCCAGATAATACTGATGAAGAAAGAAGCATAAAACAGTCTGCTGAGCTGCATGAACCAGGACACTCTTGACCACAGCTGGGTGCACACGATGGCCACTATAATCAGAACAAGCAGTCCCATCTGGAAAACAAACAGACAGAGTACAACTTGACTAATAGACAAATTATTATAGTTGCCACTATTAGTCAGCTAATTCATCAGTTGACTGGTAATAAACACATTCAAAATAAATTGTCTAGATAATTACTTGAAATTAAGTGAATGAAAATGCAGTTTGCAGTCAAATATATTGTAGTTTTGAATCAACGTAATAATAATAATAATAATAATAGTAATAATCAGAAGTGACACCAAGAGCAAATTTCCTTGTGAGATAATGGATAATTTTCTTCCAAAACAAAGATTTCGCTTAATGAATGACCTTACTTTTAATAGTGTGTCAAGCTCCACGTCAAAAGTGTCTTCAAAACGCCACTTCCAGGTCTCGTAGTCATGCGGTTTGAGATCGACGAGTATCTGACTGATGGCATTGTCAAGAGCCCCTGTTCTCAAACTGTCTTCGCCATCCAGCAGTGACTGAATCTCTGCCATGGTATTTGTGGAGACTCTGATTTTAGCATCATAGAAGACATCAAAGGGGTCACTGGGCTGAGGTAGAAAGGCGAAAGGTAGCAGTTAAATATAGGTTGTGTCGTGATGCCAGAAAGGTACATTAAAACGCACGGAAGATTTGTAAAGACATTCAATGCCACATAATACATATGAAATGCCCACTTACCAAACCAAGTCTTTGTAGATCTTTACGGAGTCTGGTAAGGAATCGTTTGAACACTGGATTGCAGGTAGGCTGCTGTGAGATGAGTCGGATTTCCTTCTTAAGTTCTTCAATCTGAATCAAAGAAAAGCAAAATATTTGGGATACTTGACAGATTTGGAGGGAGTTTTTAACCTTTGCTGTATAGGGTCGGTCTCATTTCCATGATTTTGTGCCTTATCAATTCCTTTCTTGGCTTGGAGTCTTGGTCGTGTTAGGGATTTAAGCCAGAAGTGCACCCCTAGTCAGGAAATTATAGTACGTGTAATAATGTTTAGTGTTAGAATTATAGTTTCTGTGATGTTAGATATTAGTTATTACATTAACATGTTAGAGGAAGTGAATGCAATTTCAATCAAACACAATTCATAGTCATTTAAATCATATAAACACTGTACACATTAACATTCTGTCACAATGTGATGTTAAAACCTGGGGACGGATGCCAATTGCCGTTCTTTATGGATTTCTTCCAATTTCATCCCCAAAGAGGGTTTTTTGGGAGTTTTTTCTCCTGTCAGGTAATAAATGAACAACTTAATGCGAGGCAGCCGACTGAGGCAAATGTCTTGAAAATTGAACCACATGAACTGTCTTAGATCTTATGATGAAGTGTGATGAACGGTGATCATTAATGATGGGTTGTTGTAATGAAAGTGTACTAGTTATAAGATGAAGACTTAAACGATGTATGCTTTGGTAAATTCACTCATTGGGGCATAAAGCCAACTGTATCTACATTGAGTGCATTGGAATGTGAGGGACAGATAGTACAGGGAGGTTTCAGGTTACAGCTGCATTTTCACACCTCGACGTGGAAGGGACAATGGAGGAGGTGACCCTTTGGAGAAGAGGTCAATGACAATCAAATGCACCAAGGAAGACACACCTCAAGAGTTTTCAAAGGACCATGGCGGGGGAAAGGACTGGTAGAATCTGACCTGCAGCCGCCTTGAAAAGTCACTTTAGACTTGCTCAGAGGATTCTCTATTTCGCGAAATATTCCACTGTTCGCTTAGTATTTCACTTTGTAATTGCATTCCTTATAACGTTGTTTAGTTATTAAATACTTTTTGATTTTTGAATTTAAACGAATTGACTCATTCGTGTCCTCGTTTCCGGCCGGGACGAGAACAAAGGAGTGAGGCCTCCCTCGAGAGCTTTCCGAAACCCTAACAGTCGCACCCATGGGAAATTGAGGAGGACAAACAAATCGAAGAATTTAAAAAATGAAACATCTTTCCCTCAAATCCTAATTTTCAAGCAACTTCAATGAAATTTGAGGTATGGGACAGCTGATCAACTGTTCATTGTTTAATTACACCACTCAAGTGTTTTCCCTTGCATTAGATCAGGGGGCGCCCACCCCCTGAAAAACACCCACAATACATCTGTTTGCACGACTACTACACGCCGCCCCCTAAAAACCTAGCGAAAACACTGCCGCTGTATTATATGATTGCTGTCAGATGAGTAACGTTTTTTAGGACATTATATGTACTATTAATTAAATTCTCCTCGTGTCATGGTTTGAGTTAATTTACTGTTCCTCCCTCTCGTGTCCCTCGGTTAATTTCACTTCCTGCCCTGGAGGGTCTTCTTCCCCTCTGATTGTCTGTGGACCAAAAATCTCCCAAAACTTTTTTTGTAAAAATGTTTTACTAATTTCAGTTTTCATCCCACCAGGGAATAAAAAGTACACATGTCTAAGGGAAATCACAGATTGAAATTTAAAACCATCCTTCTTGACCCTACCCACCTAATGTAGAGTTATAGGCTATGGAACTTTTACATTCAGATGCATTCAGGTGGCGGAGATGTAGACATAAGATCAAATAAGTGCATTAATCGATCAAATGAGAAGTTGCATAGTTATAAAATAATTATTAGCAAGGGATTAGGTCAAGAGGGACAAAATGTCCTCCAGCAAGAGGGCAAAAACAAAGGATATATCACGTACGCTGCTTTCCTCAGTGCGGTTTTGACAGGGGAGAAAGTAGCTCGCTTTTCAGCCACCTGAGCACTGTAGTCGGCATAAATACGAATTTGCAGAACCTTTCCCTCGGGCCAGCTGCATTATACGCTGCTTCGTCTGGTAGTGATGCAGGCTACGAAGGGCCAAGGCGCGCCGTGCGGTCTCTTCTGGATGCCCACCCTGTGCGTTCAGTCCACGGCAAAACGACGGGGAAAGGCGTCCGCACCGAATAATTTGAAGGATTCAAGGAAGGAAGTTGGGCGGGTGCCCTCCGCTCCCTCAGGTATGCCCGTAATACAAATATTGCACCGCTGTGATCGGTTCTCAAAGTCGTCGAACTCAAACTCCAGCAGTTAATTGTCCTTCAGACAGCTACCGTGGTCTCCAGTGTTAACCAGCAAGCAGTTTCTCAACGTCAGCGAGTGATAGCGCTGGGTTATTTTCGACTCCTTGTGTGGTGCCGCCGCTGGCTCGGGCCATCGCACACATGCTTAACTGAATAGGGTGTACACCACAGCAGGAATAGGTTTTAGAAGCTGGTTCTCAAAGTTTCAGGCAAGTAATTACTAAAGCAAATGCCAGATAATATCTTATTCCTAATGATGCGTTCACACCAAAAGCGAAGCAAATTCTCGCCACACTTTACTCGCCCGACCAGTTAATTCGAGTCTCCTTCATAAATGTTGGAAAGGGCCGTAGCTTATCTCAGTTGTCTCCGTTAAGACGGTTATTCTTTCTGCTATCCACCATGGAAATAAACACACAATCTCAGTTCAATCTCAGCTGTGTGTGTGTCTCCGGTGAGCGGCAGTTTCAGCAGTTTCATCAGCAGTTTTCATCGAATGACGCCAGCATCGAAAACGGCAGATGGTATGTACCAAAGCCAGGGGTGGCGTGCCACAGTCTCCTCATTCATATGACCTTGTCAGTGTCTTAACACAGCATCTCATATAAAAAAAGGAATGCATTTTTTTTAATCCTGGCCGTTTTAGCCAGTCTGACTAATCAATGGTAACAATGTGTGCATGGAGACTCATTTCATTAAGCAATCACCGCAAAATGTGTTTTTGGTTTTATTTTTCATTTTTCATTTATTTTTTTTAATTGATATACCATACCATGCACGGTCGACACATATCTCTCTCTATCATTCACAAAAAGCTTCCATTGAGGTATCAAAAGGACTTGACAGAAATGTAAACAATCGATTTATGCTCGGCCTGTTGGAAACTTTTCCAACAGGCCGAGCAATGAAAGCAAATTCTCATTGCTATTGTATTCAATTGATTTAAGACGCTGTGTTACCTCTACTATTACTCTGTCAATAAACTTATCTGTTATGATGAACTCAATAAAAAGACAAGATTACTGGTTGAAATCTGACAGTAACTATGTGTGACTACACTTCCTCCTTCCGGGAAAAGCTGTAATCGAACCTTTCTCTGGAGATCCGCCACTTCAGACCGACATGTCGTCAGGTCCACTTGGTTGGATTCCTGATTGTACGCTCTTCTCTTGGTTGGGACGTTGTCATAGTTGGCAGTCTAAAAAGGCATACGTCCAATAAAACATTAATAGTTACAAATCAGATATGTTCTCGAGAAAACTTTACGCTGGCTCACGAGCATACAGCGCCGTCGTTGAGGCATAAACTGGACGTGTGTGGCGTTCCTACCTCGGCGGGCTTCCGCATGGTTTTGGTGGTGGCATCGTAGTGGAGCATATCGTGAGGGTCTATCCAGTCGTCTTCGTCCACTTCTTGTGCCGTGGAAGCCAGAGACAGGCTGAACACCAGGAGAATGAGGAGCATACCGGCTAGGAGAGGAGGTTGCTCGGCCAAAAACACCCGTCCAGCGCTCAAAGGCGTAACGTCAGCTACAACCAGGAAGACCGAGCGAAAGTAAAAAGCGAGGAGCAATGTGGGTGGAGGGCTCTTTATAAATAACGATAGCGCTTTATAAATAACGATAAGGCGCTAAACGTGCTAACGCTGTATGCTAACTTCAGACCCGCGGGCTCAAAGTTCACGTCAACGACTCTTTGATGAGCGGAGCTGCGATAATACGGGTGAGTTAGTTTAAAAACTTGACTTAGCGACCCAACCACCCGATATGTAAACACTCACAGTTTACCTCTCAAGACAACCGCTTCCAGTACAAGCAATGTACAGGATATAACGACGCGTCTATCGCAAAGGCTCACGGGAAGCGTCGTTTTTGCGGCGATATGCTGCACATGAGCAGATCTCACTTCGAGTGTGGCCAGCGAAGCTGAGCCAAACTCCTTGTAATCTCACATACCTATTATTTGTTATAAAATCTCAAATTTAGTTTTGGAAAAATATATATAAATATACTTTTATAACTTTGTGGAAATTAACAATAGCATACAGTGGAGCAATCTAAAATTCTCAGTGAGAATGAGAAGACCTGCATCATGAAAGCAAAAGTCGAAAACGTTCAAGTTTGAATTCAAATATGAGTAGTTATTTTTTCTGTACTTTTCATTTCAAGTGGGGCTTTTGCTCGATTCCCTGTGGGGAAAACTGTTGTGCCGGTCTGAGGATTGAATCAATAAATTGATAAGTCAATGAGTTGACAAAGTATTGCTTTGCTCAAGGACATCCATACTAACCAGAACACTCATGGGGGGCTCCTTTTAGCGGTTTGTCTGTGCAGTGACATCTGCTACATCTACGCGCTAAAACACATTGTACTTTAAGTTAATCAGCTTCGTACAGTATTCTTTTACAGAGAGAGAGAGACTAACGCAACTTGTATACGGTGTAATTTGTCATTCAACTGATTCGGATTAGTTACTACCAGCACAACGCTTTATGAACTATTCAAATCTTTCAGAAAGTGTTTGCTTTCTCCAATCACAGGCAACACTGAATTAAAGATTCAACAAAACTTTTATTGCAAAAATGCGTATAGAATATTTACATTAATAGCAACATTTCTTATGAACCCATTTAGTAGGTTGTACTTGAGTTTCGGTCCTTTACAGTTAAGCCGTTGAGTGAAACCACTTTGTTCCCAGAGTTCAAGACAAATGATGTACATCTTCAGAAAGACATGCGAGGACACCGGCCTTTAAATACCACAGAACACATCTCAGCAAAAGGAGGGAGGGCATCATGCAAATGATGCCATGACATTTTAACCTCACTACATGATGGAGGAGCCTTTGTGAGTCATCTCAGCTCAAAAAGCTCCAAAACCCCTGACCTGCAACATGAGGTCAGGCAATGTATAACAAATAGAAAGGCAAGACTGCGAGCACTAAGGGTTTAAATTTATTTTCCTTTCCGCCCTTTACCACCCTTCATCCCTCCTCTGCCACCCTTTGCCTGTCCTCTTCCCTTGCCGCCTTTTCCTTTGCCCCCTTTAGCACGTTGCGCTTTCCTCTCCATCCCGCGCAAGTCCTTCTTCATGCGACCGTCCACCACCTTGAAGGTTCCCGTAACGCCAGCGGGCCGCCTCACTTTCTTGCCAGCTCCCTTCTTAGACACAAGATATGTCACTTCTCTCTTCTCCTTTCCCAGGCCTGCTTTCTTGTAGATACTGACAGGATGGGAACAAAAGGACAGAATAGTTCAAATGATACATTTTGTCTATGCATTTAGTTTCATGGAGTCAGTTTTCGAGTTACAAGCCTTTAGATGTGATGCCATACCTCTTCAGCTGAGCCATTTTCTCCCTCTCAGAGCTGTCCACTGTGTTGACGACTGCTTCAGCCTTCTTCTTGGCCTGATCCATCTTCTTCAGCATCTGGAAATGTCAGAGAAAATGACAAATTAAGATCTTCATCAAGTTCCCATAACTACAAAAGGTTTTGGATGGGTGTCGTCTCCATATTTGATCGAGCCCCTGTAATGATTTCATCAACTGTTGCCCCATCTTACCCTCCTCTTCTTCCTGGCCTTGGCCTCAGCAACACGCTTGATGGGTCTGGCATCGATCTCCTTCCATTTTTGTTTGAACTCTTCCACCATCTCCTTGGTGACCGGCACCGGCTTCCTCCGGTGTTTCAGTTCGTCGTTCAGGAACCACTCCGGTATGTCCCACTGCTGCTCGGAGCTAGCAAACCTGCAGGAGCATGCAATCAGCTCGCTGTACAGATATCTTTCAATAGTGTAATGCTTTCAAAATATGTGTACATCGATGTCGGATATATCCATGGTTGTTAATGCAGGCATCACCTTGTTCACAGATTTGATTAGTAAGAAGAAACAATGTTTTCAAAATGAGTGTGGTGTTAGGGAGGACAATATTTATTTTAAGATATTAACACTATGTTTTCTAGGCACTCAACTCCAATAAAGACGCCGGCAAAGTCTTAATGCCACTGAGTCTCCGTATCATATATGGGTTGCTTGTGTGTCGTTGCGATGTGTTAAAGTGCTACTTTTGGGCAAGTACTCAAGCAACAGTCGGCCTTCATGGTCGCTAGTTCTTTGAGGTTTGTTTGCTGTGTTATGGCATTTAAGCTTATTTTTTCTGATATAACGTGTAAATCGATTTTTTTTATTTGTGTTGCACCAGCAGCAGGCGGATTTACTAAACAATTAAATTACAGAGCCACATTCAGTGTAATGAAAGAACAAATCACCCAGTGTGTATGTGTAATTCAATTCATATCAGCCTTTAGCAATACGGGCAGTTCCAGTTTCCTGAGACAATTTGATCCGGTTTGAATGAGGACGTGCATGGAAGTGCAACACAATAAAAGACACACACAGACCTGTGGAAGGAGCCATCGATCAGGTCCCTGGTTCTCTTCTTAGACGTAGCAATATGACAGCCCAGGGCCAGGCCCTCTGCATCCAGGATCCGGGCTTTCTTACCTGAAACCACAGACAAAGTCATAAGAAAACATTTCGGAGCAACAAACACATTGCGAGTTGTTCCACTTGTAGTGGCTGTAACTATTTAGTTGTGTATATAGATATTAAATAATCTTTGTTTTAAGCTTGTGCCCGCTTCTGTTGGGTCATATACTCACTGGTGCTCTCTACAGGAACAACCTGGAAGGCACCTTCCTTGAACTCTTCCGACACCCCCAAAGTCCCTTCAGAGGCCTGCTTCATCTTGGTAATCTCCCTGGAACAAGCAGCAACATATGTCATGATTTACTTTGTTTAGTTATAAATGTGGATCCCTTAATTGATATTTTTTAACAGAAAACACTCAAGACAAACACAGGAAATGACGTTTTTACTTCTCATCGTCGCTGCTGTCATCGGAGTCACCGTCACTCTCCCCCTCAGCTCCCTTTAAAGGTGCTGCTTTTTCCTCCTCTGGCCACGCATTCTTCTCTTCTTCCTCCCCCTCCTCCTCCGCCTCCTCCTCCTTTTCATCAGCTTTCCTCTTTCTACCTTTTTCAAAATAGATCCAAAACATTCATTATTTTGTCAGTTGCAGATTTAGGAGAACTACAAATATTCTAAATTTGATTCATGTCCATTGTCTGATGACCAAGTGTGAACATATGAATGAGAAACAGGGGAGAGTATTACTGGTTTGTTTGTTCAGAAGCAGCTCGGCCTGTTGGAGCTCAAGCTCTGCATCTCCTTCTAGGCCGATCTCAGAGAATATACCCTACAAAACAAAAGGATGGCAGGGTCAAAGGTCATAAGTCACTAAGCTAGGAAGTCATTTGTAGGTGCAGAACTTGTGGGGGAAAAGCCCGGTACAAAATCCTGATACAACAGTTAGGACTGTCAACATCACCATTGTTTGCTACGTACACATTTATTATGTTATGGAAGCACGAGTGGACGAACCTTGCTGAACCAAATGTTGGTCTCACGTTCCTTCTTCTCATCCTTTCCCTCCAGTTCCACCAGCAAGCCACTATCCTGCCCTTCATCCTCCTCCTCCTCCTCTTCAGCAAACTTGACTCCGACTCTGAAACCACACAAAGGATTATTGATCATTAATTTAATAGTGTTTTTTTCTGTGAAAAGCAAAACATTGCAGGAACAGAATTTCAAGTGATACGCTACATTTCTTGCATATATACTTTAATTACTTCTTTGGTGCCTTTGTCTCCAGCTCTCTCTTGTTGTGCTCCACCTCATCTAGCTCATCATCATCTAAATCAGAGGCCAGGGACATTTCATCCGCCTCGTCATCCTCTTCCCCAGACGACAGGTGGAGGTCGTCATATTCTTCCGGCAGGTTGTCCGCCAACTGCATGTCCCCTTTGGATAAATCCACCAGAGCCTGATGGAGGGAGGTGGTTAGAAAAGTAGCATCCAATTAGCATTGGGGACAATAGGATAGGAGAACTGAATTATTATTTGAAATTCACTGTTTTGACACTGGGTGTCAAAACATCAGAACCAAAACCACAAGCAGACAGACAACGACAACGTATATCACCAAATAGAAAAATAGAATTGACTTTTGCCAACCGAGCCGAAAAGGGAGGTTTTCATCCTTGTGGTTATGTTCGTTGTGTATCTGTCTGTCTTTGTTGTTTTCACCTTTTGCTTCTTTATGGTGCTGAGGGAGAACATGGAGGAGTCGTAGGAATCAGCTATTGAGACGCCAGGCAGGTCCATCTTAAGCTCCACCCTCTCCCTCAGCTTCCTCCGCTCCTTTAGCAGCTTCTTTTTCTTCCTGTTGGAGCAAGACAGTTGTACAAACTCCATTTTCTAAAGAAATCTTAAAACTTCATATTTGCTACATGACAGGCAACCATCAATCGTGCTGCAGGTTCATTCAGCATTAGTTTGGAATCTTTTTTGATTCGCAAACCAGCCTATGACATCTGTAGCAACTTAGTAGATATTCACCAAAAATGACACAAAAAAATAGTAATCCTGAACTTGTGTCATACCGTCTGAGCTCAGCCAACTCTTCAGCTTTCATCTCTGCCAGTCTCTTCTCCATTTCTTCCTCGTCGTCCTCTTCTTCTTCCACCTCCTCCTTCTTCTTCTTATCTGGTTCTCCATCGGAGTCCGCCTTATCTTCATCAGAACTTAAGCTAAAATAAAGCAGAGAGATTTTTTTTAGATTATGTCGTTCTGGCAGACAAAATATTTCAATGTTTTTTGTAAATATGCCGCAACGCCTTTACTTGATCTCCGGGTCGCGCTGTTCGGCATCTCCTTTCCGTTTTTTGGCCAGGAACTTCCTCAGCCTAGTCCTCCAGGTCAGCAGCATGCTGCAAGT